CAATATTTATACTTCATAGGATGGTTGTCCAATTGCCTAGCGGTGCTCTTGTTCTTCTATTTCTTGAATTTTGAAAGTTGGTATCACATAATATGTGGATGGGTCATTTTTTCTAATCTGAAGGTGTAAATTGTGTTATTTCACACCATGCAGTGTTTTGCTAATTAAGTATTCTCAGACTTGAGTATAAGTCCTACCTCTGAATATAAGTTCTGTATTAAATTGACATCAGCAGGCATTTTTACCTAAATCTATTTACTTATTTGTTGATTATTCATTTAATGGTTTGTTAATTAGTCTACCTGTGGGCATACAGATTACAATATGAAGTAAGTTTTTGTTTTATTTGCCAACTTCTCCATGTAAATAAATAGAAATAAAAATGTTGTTAACTAAATTGTCACAGAAAGGCACTTTCTCTAGACCCTTTTGCATAATAAAGCGTAACTATGCTATGGTAGCACATTTTAGATATAAGAAATGTTTGCTGTTACACCTTTGAAGCCGGCCAGCATTACTGTTATGATTTTTGCTGTATATTAAATAAAGCTGGAAAAATTGACATATGTCCAAAGTTATAAGTGTTTTGAAGTACTGACTAAAAACCCATCAAAATTATGAAGTTGATTGTTTTCAACTGCCAAAACAATTATTTATATTTTGTTTGATAAAATATTTAGTGAATTTTTTTAGCACTTTAGTAGTAATTATGACCTTTTGAAAATTTAAACTATGACAGAAGCAAGGTGAATAAACTATTTGGCACAGAAAAAAGTAAATATATATTGAAATGACTTTCACTGTTTACAGAGGCACACGAGGCTTGTGTGAAATGCTGGGCTGAACAGTTCATTTCATTGACCAGTAAAATTGCCAATAATGATTGTTAAATTTTTGACGCCAAGTTTTTCCGCAACTTCTGAAACATGAATAGTTTCATGCTAAGATAAGGATTTAGTTGGTCATTAAATATTAATATAAAATTATCAGAAATATGTTTACTGAAATTTGTATAGGTTTGGAATAATACTATCAATTAGTTATTGATTTTATTGTGTTAATATATGGAATTTAATATTATGCTTGAAAATTAACATACATGATAATTATGCAAATGATGAATCAACTTTTAATTATGAAATGAGTCTATAACAGTAGTTACTTTTGAAAATAAATATATGTTATTTATAAATAGATTTTAATTATGAAGTTCTTGCATATTGATGATGACATGCAATGAAAATATGTATTTGTGTTATGAATATTTGGTTATAAAATTCAACAAACATAATTCGATTTGGAATTGGAATGGATTATGAAAATAGAAAATACTGTATTATTGAATATATAGGTTTTGCATAACTAAACATAATGGGAGTTATCATAGAGGACCATGAATATAAAGGGGGTAATATGTTGGATATAGTGAATTGATCATTGCTTTCTTTAGTTATACCCCCGCACAACGAAGTTGTAAGGAGGGTATACTGGAATCAGCTTGTCCGGCCGGCCGTCGCCCTATCCCGCCGTCCATCAGTTTTTCCTTGTCCGCCCAATAACTTAAGATTCCTTTGACCTACAGTCTTCATATTTGGTATTTAGATTGGTCATGGTTAGTAGATGATCCCTTTGTATTTTGAGGTCACTGGGTCAAAGGTCAAGGTCACAGGGGCCTTGACTTCGAAAAGCTTGTCCGCCCAATAACTTAAGATTCCTTTGACCCACAGTCTTGATATTTGGTATTAAGATTGGTCATGGTTAGTAGATGATCCCTATTGATTTTGAGGTCACTGGGTCAAAGGTCAAGGTCACAGGGGCCGTGACTTCTAAAAGCTTGTCCGCACAATAACTTAAGATTCCTTTGACTCACAGTTTTGATATTTGTTATTTAGATTGATCATGGTTAGTAGATGATCCATATGTATTTTGAGGTCACTGGGTCAAAAGTCAAGGTCACAGGGGCCTTGACTTCAAAAAGCTTGTCCGCCCAATAACTTAAGATTCCTTTGACCCACAGTCTATATGTTTGGTATTTAGATTGCTCATGGTTAGTAGATGATCCCTATTGATGTTGAGGTCACTGGGTCAAAGGTCAAGGTCACAGGGACCTTGACTTCTAAAAGCTTGTCCGTCCAATAACTTAAGATTCCTTTGACCCACAGTCTTGATATTTGGTATTTAGATTAATCATGGTTAGAAGATGATCCGTATTGATTTTGAGGTCACTGGGTCAAAGTTAAAGGTCACAGGGGCCTTGGCTTCAAAAAGCTTGTCTGCCCAATAACCTAAGATTACTTTGACCCACAGTCTTTATATTTGATATTTAGATTGGTCATGGTTAGTAGATGATCCCTATGTATTTTGAGGTCACTGGGTCAAAGGTCAAGGTCACAGGGGCCTTGACTTCTATAAGCTTGTCCGCCCAATAACTTATGATTCCTTTGACCCACAGTCTGATGTTTGGTATTTAGATTGATCATGGTTAGTAGATGATCCCTATTGATTTTGAGGTCACTGGGTCAAAGGGGCCTTGACTAAAAAAAGCTTGTCCGCTCAATTGCTTAAGAATGCTTTGGTCAACAGTCTTCATATTTAGTATTGAGGTTATTTATGACTAGTAGATGACCTTTTTTGATTTTAATGTGACTATGTCAAAAGTCAAGGTCACAGGGATTTTAATATAATAAGCTTGTCTGCTTAAGAATGCCTGTTCGCAGTGTATTGATTTTGACATTTTCACATTTGAAGCATGTAGAATACATAACTTAGCAATGCACTGGCTTAGTAACCTCAGATTTGGCAGAGAGGTTGTCCTTGAGCTCTAAATGGCCACTGTTGATTCTGACAAAGTGGTATGCGGGGCTATTCAAGCCATGACAGTGGCAGTTCTAGTTCAGTTTTAGTTCTTTAGTTCAGTTTTAAGTCGATTGAGCACTCAAAAGAGGTTATTATTGTACAAGTTATATTGTGACTTTTAAGCTTTACTGGTAGAAGAAAACTTCACTGATACCCTGTTATAATGTGCATAAATGATAATTAATAATACTGCATGCTGGTTATGTTGGCATATTGGATAATCATGACGTTTATATAGTTACTTTTATCTCTTAGTGCTCGCCAATTTTTTTAAGCCAATCACCGACGAGGATTTTTCAAATTTTCAGGTTTCAAATCTTAATAGAACAGATTTTATATAAACTGGACGTTTTATATTATAAAACGCAAGTGGGCGGAGCTAAGTTTCGAAGAGCGCTAAAGTGAAATATACGCATGTGCAGAGATCTTGAAGTTTACTCCTACTAATCAATATTTATGCATCATGTTTTTTCCGTACACGCACATGTATATCGTCACTACGGCATAGAATTAAAAAAAAGAGGTTCATTGAAATGAAAACAGGCAAAATAACAGTAAAAATGTTTTATTACTTACGGAACCAGTTTCATTTTATAATTTCCAAATAAAAAGTTCAATTATTCCAACAAAGTATGTATGTAATATTTCTTACTTTTATGTAAATATTACAGCCCGTGCCGCTGCAAAACCGAAAGTAGGGTGTTTTTTTTTATTAATTTTACATTTATTTTTGACAATATACTGCCATTTGTCCGAAGATGATATGTATATGAACATAATAAATATGTATGATGCATATATAATCAAGCTACAGATTCATTTCAACCCGAAAAATATGTCGAGGTGACGGGCGAGGCCAGACATGTCGACTTTTTGTAGCTTATTGTGAAGTTGCAGTACATGAAAATCGGGCACATGACAAATCAGCACTTAAGTGTTCCGTGGTATACATCTTTTCTACGTGTCATACCTCCTTTCCTTATTACAATGGATTTTTACTGCATTGTTTTTTCTACATACTCCATCGCTGGTTTGTTTTAGCAGAGAATGACCTGTGTATGTTCAAAGAGGGTAACGTTGGAGAATATTTCGCAAATAGGGTACCGATATGGATATGCACCGTGATATTGTCTGATTTACCAAGACAGAATGCGGGAATAAGCTATGCAAAACACGTGACCCGAAAATGTGTACCGCTACCTCTTCCAAATATGGTTATACACATTTAGGCTATCGTGTGACGTCACGCAGTGTGTTGGGCGGAAAAAAATGGGCGGAGCACTAAGCCGGTTAGAGCGCATATTGGATGTTCTTCGTAAATAAGAAAGCTACAGTCGCTTCGCAAGCTCCGCTCCTTTTTAGCTTTCTTATTTACGAAGAACACCCAATATGCACTCTAACCTATACTTAAAAAGAAAAAAAAAAAGATCCCTGCTGTATTATAAATTCATTATGAATATATCTGACATGTTATAATTGGCTGTATATAATATTTTGTGGTTGTTTGCAATATAATTAACCCAAGTCACTTATTTCCAAACAACCGTTTTATTATGTAGGGCCATATTATATTATATAACCTGTCAAAAATCTTTATAACTTTATAATTATTAAATAATAAAAAGTGCAAACAGGCATATGACTATAGGCGCTGTAATGATGAATGAAGGTTTTGACTAATTAAGATATTTTATATCTATTTGTGTTTATAAATTTAAATCACATAATGCTAACTACTAATTGCAAAGGTTACATATTATGTAGGCTTCAAGAATTCAATTTGCACATTTACTTTATTTTTGGTTATATCTCAAAAAATCAGAAGATGGCCATGGATATGTGTAACATTGGAATTCAAAAATAATGGACTGTTCATGTTTGAACGGATGATTATATGGTTTTATTAAATGTTTATTTTTGTCTATATATTTTTTTAGTTAATTTGTATTTTTTCCTTTTTGATAATGATACAACAGTTTTGTATACAAGCCTGTAGTAACATTGGAACATGTTTATGATGACCATGCAGTCCAGAGAGATGAAAAAAGAGAACATTATCATCCAGGTTAACTGTAGATGTAAAATCTTGTTCTTGATTAATTTTACAACAAATGTGTAAAATGAAATATGACTTTTTTTTTCAGGTCAAGCAGAAGATGAAATTAACAAGTTGTTAACGAAGCCAGAGGCTAATGGTCATCCGAAGGTTCTTGTCGAGCGTAATCTATTCTCACAGAAACAGTTTGATGAAAATTTTGAGGCAGGGACGCGGCCCTCGCCGACTGTAAAACAGATTATACACAAGAAACTGTCAAAATGTCGATGCTCAGGGACTTGTTTGAAGGGGTTTATTTATTCGTTGTTCCCGTTTATAAGTATTATGAAGAACTACAACATCAGACAAGATATAACCGGAGATATTGTCTCGGGGCTGACAGTCGGAATTATGCATATCCCACAAGGTGCGTTAGAATATATAATATTTATGATATTATTATTATATTCAGAAGGTAGGTGCCATTTTGATTGATAGCATCACTGGTGATATATCAGGACATTAACTACAGTTTTCATATAGACATATATATATATAAACTGCAAACTGTTTCATAAGATTTATTTAAACTAAGCAGGTTCTTAGCATATTACAAGAGAAACATTTTCAGCAAGAAAAATTGGGAGTTGCTGATCATGTTACAGTGTAATCTGCCCTTGAATTTGAATTATTTAAGTGTTACTGTCCGCCATGTTTTTGTCGGGTGACTTATAAATTATATAGAATTGAAGTACTATCTTCATGTTCAAAGCTTGAAACCAGACATCAAAAATCAAACCTTTTTTTACATTTTAAGTTTTTGTCCCAGATTTATGTAAACTTTATTATTATTTTTTTAGTCTGGCTGTACTTGACAGACATGGTAATTGTTTCTGTCTGTTTTGACATGTATTTATTATGTAAACAGTATAATATGTCATAATTATTTTAACGAGATATTTTACATTCTCACGAGTGCACTGAAAACACAATTTAAATTCATTTTGCTAAAATTAATGTTTCCTAAGAAATAATGGGTTTGTTAAAGATTTAATGTCAAAGAGATCAAATTATATAAATTTTGCTGGAAGAAAAATGATTTGAAATGTTCTTGCCTTATTTATCTTAACAAAGACTTGAAAGTGTATAAAGCTATATATTTGCTGCAAAAAATATTAAGTTTTTAATAAAAAAAAGAGAGAGAAATACTTCCAAAATGCTTGTATGAAATAAATATGGTAGTGCCTTTTAAAAGCCAATGGCGCATTAGCACCAAATTATAGTTCTAAAACAGATAATACCCTACTTAATAATAGCAGAATAATATTTTGTTCCAAAACATTTTAGAAATCTATTCTTACTTTTATTTTACAATATACCAAGTGTTAGATAATAGAGACATTCTTTATTACAAATTTTTAGAGACCATTAGATTATAGAACCAATGTATTTCTATTGTCGATAAATTTTATAAAAATATTCCAGATAAGCATTACAAGATAATGATTTATTTCTGCTATAGAATTTAAAATGAAAAGGGTGCATATGAAGGGTAATAACAAATATATATTACACCTAAAAAGTATTTGAAGTTTGAATTTGTTTGAGTATTCATGTAGCTTAGTAATGAATAAGCAAGTGATTCCAATAAATAATGACCCGTACGAAGTATTAATATAGAGTCTTAAAGTATACCTGGAAAAAAAAGACACTAAAAGGGCATACAAATTTGTGATCAACTGCTTTTATATATAAAATGTTGAGATTTGTTTAGAAGGAAAAGTTGAGACTTTATGAACCAGTACTTATGAATAATTGTTATCCATTCTTTTAACCAACCATAAATTTTTATCTGAAAAACTGAAGATGGCTTTATCTAGAATCTAATATGATTATACAACTGCCTTACTTTTATTAAAGAATGTTGCACTATGTAATGAAATAATTATTTGTGTCTTATAATTACTCTGATCATTATATAATGTATTCAATTTTTATCTCAGAAGTTTGGGTTTTCATTCTCACCAGGCATGCTGAAACTAAATGTTCCTGTGTGTTAGTAAATGATTTATAATAGCTTATGATATCAAAATAATAGTTTATGATATCAGGGATCAAAGGCAATGTATTACATACTATTACTTTTATAGTATTTCCAACTGTTGTGTTGTGAAAATGAAAATTTCTTTGATAACTTCCCAAACGTTTTTAGTGCAAAAAAGTATGAACGCATTTTTTCTTCAAAGGTCAAAATTCAGTTGGTGTTCTTACATTATGTTTTAAAGATACAAACTTTGTATATGCCTATTTCCTTTACTGTAGATTGTAATACAACTTAAGTTGATGAATTTTATTTGATGAATGTTATGAGTTTAATAAATGACTTGCTCTAAGAATTATTGCTCTCGGCTTAGATCCTGTTGATATTTTAATCTTTGATGTAAGGAAACAAAACGTGTCCAGCTAGCTTTTGTAAGTCTTTATTGTTCTAAATGTCATGCCTAGATGTGCTTGTTGTAATACAAAAATGGGCACCTGGGGGCCATATTTATGAAGGTCCTTAGTTTCTAAGGGAAACATTCCTTACCTTGAAGGAAACTCCCTAAGGTCAAATTTTTTCCTAAACTTTGAAGTCAAAAATCCCTTAAGTGAATTCAAGTTTTTCCCAACCAGTACCATAAAACTGGAAAGTTACCATAATGACCTTTACTACTTTGTCTTACAAACATTAACAAACAAATAAACAAATAAAAACAAACAAACAATCAATTTAAGTGACCGGAGGATACAGCCAGGGCAGCCTGCACAACTAAGCAGTCCTACCAGGCACAATACTGAATGGTGGTTCAGGTCATGTTTTGTATTTCAATATCCAGATCCCTGAAACTTTGATTAAACTGTTCTAAATAATCCATTACACAGATTCAACAGGTTAAAGGCTTTACATTATACTGCGCACAAAGGTACCAGTCATATTTTGTATTATGATTTGCAATTAAAACAACAGCTGCATCACTGTGTCTTAAATAATATAGAATTATAATGTATAAGAAATACAAAAAAAGGGAAATATTTATTTTCTAATATTTCAATGTAAGGTTACCTTGACATGTTTATTAGTATTTTATATAATACATAGAATAGTAATATCTTATAAGTAAATGTATGTTGCCTGTCATAGTAAGTACTAATTTCAAAATAAATGTTATCTTTTTTCTAACCTTAAGCATTGACAGGTCATAGAGGTTATATGTTCATGACCTTGCATATTAAATAGATATTAATTTGTGTGACATTAATGGGTGTAATCCATGTTAAATATTAGTTGTGACATATGTAATGTCACCTTCACACTATAAAAATACCTAATGAATGATTTTACACTAATATTGTCTGGTCACCTCACACATATTCAAGTCATGGTTTTTGCTGTGTGGTAAAATTTATGGTTATAATGAGTTTACCAAATTACTTTTTTTATAGGTTTTTTTGTTGTTGTTGAGAAATTTGTTTTGTGCAAAGCTGTAAAGCTATTTACGGAAAAAGATAAACATAAAAATGACTATTTAGGAAAAATTAATGGAGTGAGCTCAAATCATCTGAAGGTTTACAATATACAAGTGATTGGTATAGACCTTCATGATGGGCAAAGGTGTAAAATTCTCAAAAAATATATGTGCCGGCCCATCTTGGTTTGCACTCAGGTCAACAGCAGCTAAAAAAAATCAAACTGTTTTAATTCTTATTATTAACTGTTTGACTTTTTATAAAAAGCGAACAGGGTTTTTTAAAAGATTTTACATTTAAAGTTATTACTTTAAAAGTAAAAATTTAAGTAGATTTTCAACTTCATGAAATATCTTAAATTTCCCAATATGCTGAATATAATTTTTTCCCAATTTATGCCAGGGCCCTTTTTCCTAAATAGCTGAAAAGGGCCCTATATAATAAGAAGTTATCACAGTTAAATGTTGAATCACCCTATGATGAAATATTATAATAATTTTACCAATGTATGTACGTTTTCAGGTATGGCTTATGGTATGTTGACAACTCTGCCACCTGTATATGGATTGTACATGTCATTCTTCCCTGTTCTTCTCTACTTTTTATTTGGATCCAGCAAACATGTCTCTATGGGTAGGTATCACCTCTCTTTACTTATAATAGTCTTCATTCATATATTTTATTCATTAATTCTTTGCAACTGACGGCTGTCTTAAATCATTATTACTTCCTGTAAAATTTACAGGAAAGAATTGAATAATTATAAGGAGAATTATCACTGGTCACTTAAAGTTACAAACTGAAATCTGAAAATCTCATAAAGAATTATTATAGTTCTTGCTATTCTAAAATAGAATTTTGCGGATAATTCTAAAAGAAAATATTAAAGATAGTTCTTGCCATCTGTTCATGCTATATGTATTGAAATCTTTAAAAAAACATATGCAAATTAACCAGTTTTACTTTGGCTGACACTAGATACTTCTTGTTTATGATAATATAATGGTATGTATTTGTTCAATGTAATCAACTTATAGATTTTAACAGAAATAATTATTTTCTCCATGCTGTGAAGAATTCACTCAATCAAAGAAAGCTGGACTTGACATGATTAAAAAAGCATGAAATATGCCTTATAATGTGGAATACCTCGTTAAAAATTCCAGAAAAAGAAAAGAGTTAGCATTTTAATGAGACCGAACTGATATTATGATGCAATGTCTACATAAATACTTGACTTAATTACTATATTGTTTAATATAGGTTTGTCCAAGGTGATATAAACTAAATAGATATTAATCCAATTTAATTCATTAGTATTAGAAGTGCTCTTTGGTACCCGGCTTTGAAAGACAAATACTTTGATAAGTTATGCTGAATCAAAAATACATGCATAATGTTTATTTTATACTTTAAATGTTTGACTTTGTGAATTGGAAGTAATAGTCACTATCTTAAGAGTACTTTGATTATATCACAAATCTTAAACATGACTATTTGAAGAATCGTGCAGAATGATGTTGGCATGGGCACTTTGACGCAAGTTTTTGCGTGGAAGTTGGTATCTCCAAAACTACATGGAATGGGTTGAAATTTCACACACTTATTAAAAAAGTGAGAGCGTAATAACGAGGTCACTGTCCAAGGTTTTTAACACTTAATGTGAATTTGGACAGAATTATAACCTTTTTTGAACTTAGAAATTTTTACATTATCCAGGCCCTTGTTTTACTAAAAAAGAGCACACTGTCCTTCAATAGCTCTTATTTTACTGTTACAATTTTTTCAAAGTACAGACCTATTAATTATTTCAAATTCTGAAGTAAAAACATTGTGCTCTTATTAAGGAAAAATTTCAGAAATCAATTACCAACTACAGTTCTTTTCTTTCAAATTGTTATTTAGCCAATTGACATAAATAACAATTTGAATGGGAAACATTATTATCTTAACTTCTGCTTGGGTAAACTAGAGATCTATTGTAAGAATTAAATATCATTGATAAAGCAAGCTTACAGAAATTATGTGCAATTTGATTTCCATAATTGAAGATATATGAACACTTGAGGAATACTTGAAGAATAGGTTTTGCAAAAAATTTTATTTTCAATTTTTTTGGAGTTTTTTTTTTTCAAATTTTGAAAGCAAATTTGGGGTCCTGGTTTTGATTGCATTTTTAAAAGAAAAAGTGATTTTTAAAAAACATGGGAAAGAGGGGCATTGGGGCATTTTTTATTAAATTTTGAAGTTTTTTTATTTAAAATGGGAAGGGGGGGAACTCCTGTAATAGTCATTACTGGTTATTTCAGTAACTTTATTTTCATGTGATGAGTCTCATGAAAAGATGACATTAAAGTATAAAATATTGTCACAGTGGTTTTTTTTCTGAACAAGAAAATTCTTAAAACATGTAAAAATTTTAATCATTCTTACTATTCCTTTTGAAATAAAAAAAAAAATTGTCGTTAACGTACGTTAATGCTGTATAACAATTACTAGCCAACAGGTGTCTAATTGTAGGGAGATGTGACCCTGTTGTATAGATATATACCTCTCATCTCTCAACCGGTGATCATAGGTTTGAGCATTAATGAAGGCACATGCATGTTTCATTCTTGAATCTTTGCAGTACCTTTGTAAATTCAGGACATGGTTTTGAATGTAGCTCATATAAGTTCAGAGATCTCATCTTGATCTAGCTAAAATACATATTTTTAAAGTAATATTACTTTTTGAGAAATGTTGTAAAATATTTTTGTTGATTGTTTTAGGTACCTTTGCTGTAGCATGCTTAATGATTGGATCTGCTGTTTCCAAGGGGATGGACAGTCTGGGAGAAGACTTCCTGTCATCTAAACCAGTTGTACTTTCATCAGAGAACCAGACACAAGTCGTGCTGAATGAGACTTTTGGAAATTTTACAGGCAACCAGTCTGAAACAACAACAAGAAAGTCAATATCAACAGCAGACGACACATCAGAGATGTCACCAGAGGAGCTTGATCTACGGCTTCAGTTTGCTATGTCTGTTACATTTATGGTCGGAGTCATTCAGGTGAAAACCAGCTAGAGAACAAATTTAGTTTATGGTTTTAAATTGTTTCTTCTTCAAATTCTAATCAGTAAATATTGTTATAAACTTATAATATTTCACAAATGCTCCCTGTGAAATATGTTAAGTTACTGCATTATATTAGGCATATTTGAGGAATTGGTATACAATATTGATACCAATAATACAATTTGAAGTTGAAAAAGTCCATTAGGTTAAGGGTTAAATCATATAAGAAATGATGGAAAATCAAATGAACTTGCTGAAAATGAAATATGTTTTCAATTATTCTGTAGAAATTAAGATATATGGAAACAATCACCTTGACCCTCTAGTGTGACTGTTACTTCTTTGAGAATAGGTTATTTAGGGGTGATGTATTTAAATTACATCAGCATTGTAAAAGTTATAATTTAAGTGACTTTTCAGCTTTACTGGCGAAGGAATCCTAGATGTGATACAAGCTACCTGGACAGATATTCACATCAAAACATTCCAAAAAAACTTATTTTATGAAAAGACATGGCCAAATAAGGAATTATGCTATATGAATTTAAACAATTTGCTTGGTCCTGAAGAATAGTACTAATTCATTTTACAATGCTTAAATATCCAATTATAATGGGACTTTTCACTTTCAGCTGATAATGGGTGTTTTCCGACTGGGTTTTATCACAGTCTACCTCTCAGATCCACTAATAAGTGGCTTCACAACTGGAGCAGCTTGTCATGTCTTCACAAGTCAAATCAAACATGTGTTTGGTGTATCAACTGAGAGATACAGTGGTGTGTTTAAACTTGTATATGTAAGTATGTTACTTTATGAGTGATACAGTGGTATGTTTAAACTTGTATATGTAAGTATCTTACAAACTGAGATACAGTGGTGTGTTTAAACTTGTGTATGTAAGTATATTACAGAACGAGTGATACAATGGAGTGTTTAAACTTGTATATGTAAGTATGTTAATGAATGAGTGATACAATGGTGTGTTTAAACTTGTATATGTAAGTATATTACAAACTGAGATACAGTATGGTGTGTTTAAACTTGTATATGTAAGTATGTTAATGAATGAGTGATACAATGGTTTCTTTAAACTTCTATATATAAGTATCTTACAAAGTGAGTGATACAGTGATGGTATATGTAAGTATGTTAATGAATGAGTGATACAATGGTGTGTTTAAACTTCTATATGTAAGTATCTTTCAAAGTGAGTGATACAGTGATGTGTGTTTAAACTTTTATATGTAAGTATGTTACTGAATGAGTGATACAGTGGTGTGTTTAAACTTGTATATGTAAGTATGTTACTGAATGAGTGATACAATGGTGTGTTTAAACTTCTATATATAAGTATCTTACAAAGTTAGTGATACAGTGATGGTATATGTAAGTATGTTAATGAATGAGTGATACAATGGTGTGTTTAAACTTCTATATATAAGTATCTTACAAAGTTAGTGATACAGTGGTGTGTTTAAACTTCTATATGTAAGTATCTTACAAAGTGAGTGATACAGTGATGTGTGTTTAAAATTGTATATGTAAGTATGTTAATGACTGAGAGATACAGTAGTGTGTTTAAACTTCTATATGTAAGTATATTACTGAATGAGTGATACAGTGGTGTGTTTAAACTTGTATATATAAGTATGTTACTGAGTGAGTGATACAGTGGTATGTTTAAACTTGTATATGTAAGTATAGTACTGAATGAGAGATACTGTGGTGTGTTTAAACTTGTATATATAAGTATTGTACTGAATGAGTGATACAGTGGTGTGTTTAAACTTGTATATATAAGTATTGTACTGAATGAGTGATACAGTGGTGTGTTTAAACTTGTATATATAAGTATATTACTGAATGAGTGATACAGTGGTGTGTTTAAACTTGTATATATAAGTATGTTACTGAGTGAGTGATACAGTGGTATGTTTAAACTTGTATATGTAAGTATGTTACTAATTAAGAGATTCTGTGGTGTATTTAAACTTGTATATGTAAATATATTATAGACTGAGAGATACAATGGTGTGTTTTAACTTGTCTCTGTAAGTATATTACTAGGATGGCAAGCTGTGTTGTGGCAAGTTTTTTCCTTGAGCAAGGAAATTGCACTTATTACTCTGTACTGATTGGTTCCAGGAATGGAATTGAGAATGTATCTATTAGCTTACTGCTACCTACACAATCAACTGTATAAACTAATGTACCAGTATAGCAGTATCTTGTTCAAACCATTAATGTTGATGAATATGAAAAATATGTCAATATATTACATAATTACATAAATTGAGGCTAATTCTAAAGGAAATGTAATCAAACTCCTGTTTGTTTTCATAATTGAGATGTTTAAAGATTTTTTAAACTAGTAAATATATCCAAGTGCCAAAAGAAGCTAAATTTTAGCCCTGACAAAGACTATAAACTAGAGTAATGAGCCCATTTCTAAAAATAAGGTGAACAAACTTGATAAAAGAATGCTTGCAGCTGAAGTTTATAAATTTTATTGATTTACAAGTACAGGTACTTGAATATAAAGCATTTAAGTTTAATTGTTTGTAATATATAAGAATATTTATGCTATAAGAATATTTGTAATATAAGTATAATGTTAATACTGTAAATGTATAATGTGGGTCTCATGACCAAAAAATATCTATATTTAACAATTGGGCAGATGCAGATAAAAATCGATCAACTTGACATAAATACAAGAAATATATGATATATGATGACATTATTTTATTGGGAATAAAAATCACTGTGAATGTTATACTTCATTTCTTAATCCCTTAAACCTTCCAAATTTATGTAATGGATTTGCTCAGCTTTATATTTGGGTTAGTTCATTTTGAAAATGAAGGAATTTAATTATCAAAGTACAAAAACTGAGGTACCTGAACACTCACTGTATAGAGTCTTTGTCATACTGCACATATGCTCGGGCTGGCCTGGTTCTATACTGGTGGTAAAGTCTAATAACTTTTGGTTCCTGTCAATTAAGGGTTAAAATGATGATAACAGTTAGTCATAGATCTTGATATACGATCTCATTAGACATGTATAATATTAGAATTACCCGACATTTTCTTAAAATAGAATCAAAATGTTGGTGTCAAGGTAAATTATTTCTTGTTTACCAGCGTGACACGTTCAAGTTCAGTTCTAAGTCACGTTCAGGTAGTTAAATTAATTAAACCTGGCATCACGAAATGTTTGAATACAGAAATTTATAACTTACCATTTTTGTATAGTGACTGTCACATTTACCTGAAATATACAGATTTGCAGACACATTATAAATAATGTCTCACTTATTTTGTTGTGTGTCGTTAATTTAATGCAGCTATACTTGTTTATATATTTCAGACATACCGAGATTTTTTCACCAACATTGAGACAACAAATATAGTCACGTTGCTCCTGTCTGTTGTTTGTATAGCAGTGTTGTATTGTACAGGTAGATTCATCAACCAGAATCCAAAACTTAAACCAAAGATGTTCATGCCCGTACCCATTGAACTGATTGTTGTAAGTTGGCTTTTCATCTTTAGATATATTTTTTACAGTTGTGGGTTAAAAGTTTAAATGGTTGGCTTGCCCATCTGTATTGTAGGCTGGATTTTTGCTTGTGATAATGAAATGTATCATCCTACCAATCAGTTGTCAATCTAGCTCACAAACGGACACCAGTTCAAGTTTTTACCTATGTTTTAAAACTGGACGGGCATATTCTTTCATGATTTAAAACTTTGACTGTAACATCTAAGAAATGCAAAAAGAAGTCTCTATGGGGTTCATAAACTTTGTTTAAAAGGTTAACAATGTTTTGATGATTTCATTTTGATAAGAAAAAGGTACAGTTGTACCGAAAGGAGGCATAATATAATCGCATCATCTGTCCGTCTGTGCGTCCCCACTTAATTCATGTCCGGACTTTTACTTTGTCATACATTGAGGGATTTAGAAATAACCTGTCTACCACATCAAGACGATGTGTCGCATCCAAGAACCACATCCCTACCTCAAAGGTCAAGGTCACACTATCATTTTGAAGTTTCACATTATCCCAATGAGACACATTTGTGTCCGGACTGTAACTTTGTCATGCATTGAATGATTTTAAAATAAGTAAATATAAATGTCTACCACATTAAGACGATGTGTCGCATCCAAGAATTACATCTCTACCTCAAAGGTTAAGGTCACACTATCATTTTGAAGTTTCACATTTTCGCAATTAGATGAAAAATATGTACACACATTCGTGTTCTAACTGTAAATTTGTCATGCATTGTATGATTTTAAAAGAACTAGGCATAAATGTCTACTACATCAAGACAATGTGTCGCCTTCAAGAATTATGTCTCTTCCTAAAAGGTCAAGGTCAAACTATCATTTTGAAGTTTCACATTATCGCAATGAGAGAAAATAGGTACACACATTCGTGTCCAGACTGTAACTTTGTCATGCATTGAATGATTTTAAAATAAGTAGGCATAAATGTTAACCACATCAAGACAATGTGTCGCGTCCAAGAATTATGTCTCTACCTCAAAGGTCAAGGTCACACTTACATTTTTTAATTTTTACATTATCACAATTAGAATTAATAGGTACACACAATTGTGTCCGGGCTGTAACTTTGTCATGCATGGAAGGATTTTAAAATAACTTGGCACAAATGTCTACCACATCAAGACAATGTGTTGTGGCTAAGGCTCAGTCTGTCTGTGTGTCCCCACTTACACAACAATCATGTCCAGACTGTAACTTTGTCATGCATTGAGGGATTTTGAAATAATTTGGCACGTCTATCTAATAACAACATTTTGTCGCATCCAGGAACCAAGTCCCTTCTTCAAAGGTCAAGGTCACACTTATATTTTGATGGTTCATGCTATCACAATTAGAGATTACAATAATATCAAAGTATAATATTCAGCTATTACTTACTTTCATTCTCTTTTCTTTTCATAATACCTGCATGCTTAAGAAACCTTTTCAGGGGCATTCGTCACTTGGGTGACAGCTCTTGTTGTATACTATGATGCTTCCAGCAGACAAAGGGTTAATTTACAAACAAATTTCTTACTTTTGTTTTAATTTCTAAATCATCTTTTGCTGACGATTATCCCATTTGTTACGAAAATTTAAGAAATCAATAAAAGGAATTAATTTCAAATTTATTATATGATCAGACAGCATGCTGGTTTTATAATATTTCTCATAAGTAGAAAATTTAAACAAATATTTATTTGTTGATCCAATATTTATGTCTCTGTCTAATTGAATGGTTTTGCATGATACAAAATAATTGGTATAATAATAAAGTGTATATTTCTATGGTTTTATTTTACAGGTGGTACTTGGAACAGTGGTCTCATATGCACTGGACTTAGAGCACACCCATGAAGTTATTGTTGTCTCAGATATTCCCACTGGGTAACTATTTTTGTATAGATATAACCCTATATATATATAACTGGACTTACATTTATGGCAAGACTTTAGCAATTGTCCGCAGCTATTTTTAACATTTTACACAAAATTATTTCTTCAATATTTATCAGCTTTGTTTTTCTAAAAATCACTCGGATTACTTTTAGGGTTACGGTTAAGGATTAGAGTTAGTGTTATGGGAAAGCGGTTCTTGGTTTGGGTAAGAGGGCTATGGTTAGGATTATAAAACATGGATTTTGCTGTGGACAGATTGTAAAAGTGCTCCACATTTATTTTGTCAGCCCCTAATTTAGCAGTGCAATATGTGTAAAAAATAATAAGTATTAAATGAACAAACATTTCTTGTATGAAAAGTAAGTTTTGAATTGTAAACAGAACTTTGAATTATTTCATTTGAGAGAAGCCAGCCATCTGTTTTGCATGTGACAGTTTGTTTCTTCTACCTAGGTTCCTCCTAGTTTCTGAAATGTTGTGTACGCAGTCTGGAAAGCTAAAATATAGCTGTATAAACTCTATTATAACTTTAAAGGCAATGATATAGATACAAAATGTTTAAATCATGGAATTTTACTTTTATTATTTCAGTTTACCAGTGCCAAATACAAAATGTTTTACTCGTATTTCATCCGTAATCTCAGATGCTATAGCATTAGCTATTGTCATATTTGCCATATCTATATCCATGGGAAAACTGCTTGCCAAGAAACATGACTATGAAGTGGATGCTAATCAGGTATTGTTTATCACCATGGTTTCAGTGATTAACCAGTATATTTAACATGTCAACAGGAATATTGGTTTACTGTATATTTAATGGCTTGCAAAGATATATTACAATGAGGTACATTTTGGCTGTACTGGTGAATGGCTTGCCAAGATATATTACAATGAGGTATTTGGCTGTACTGGCAAATGGCTTGCCAAGATATATTACAATGAGGTACAGTTTGGCTGTACTGGCGAATGGCTTGCCAAAATATATTACAATGAGGTACAGTTTGGCTGTACTGGCAAATGGCTTGCCAAGATATATTACAATGAGGTACAGTTTGGCTGTACTGGCGTATGGCTTGCCAAGATATATTACAATGAGGTACAGTTTGGCTGAACTGGCTAATAGCTTGCCAAGATATATTACAATGAGGTACAGTTTGGCTGTACTGCCGAATGGCTTGCCAAGATATATTACAATGAGGTACAGTTTGGCTGTACTGGCAAATGGCTTGCCAAGATATATTACAATGAGGTACAGTTTGGCTGTACTGCTAAGATATATTACAATGAGGTTAAGGTTGGCTGCACTGGCAAATGGCTTGCCAAGATATATTTCAATGAGGTACAGTTTGGCTGTACTGGCAAATGGCTTGCCAAGATATATTACAATGAGGCACATTTAGGCCATACTGGCGAATGGCTTGCCAAGATATATGACAGTGAGGAGGTTGTGAAGTCAAGAATTTCTAATTTCAGCAGTTTTAAAGTAATTTTTCATAAGGTAACAGTATATTAGGATTGTCGAAAGATTATATAATATTTTACTATTTAATATTATTATCTACAATTTAAGGAACTGATGGCTTATGGTATATCAACTGTAGTTTCCTCTTTCCTGTCGTCTGCTGCGCCATCTGCTTCATTGTCCAGAAGTCTGGTACAGGAGAGAGTGGGAGGTAAAACCCAGGTTAGTACCACTGAGCTATTGATGACTGTTTTCACCCTGAGTATAGTTGTTATTTGTTACTGAACTGTAATCATTATGACATTGGAATGGGGAGCGGTGGCCTAGTGGTTAAAGTATCTGCCTCTCAACCAAGGGATCATAGGTTTGAGCCTTCATTGGGTCACAACCGTGTTTTTTCAAAAGATATCAGTACTGGTGGTTTCAGGAAGCGGACTCAAATGTGATTAATAAAATGTGCAAGAACTTGTTTTGCAATCGAGCTTAGATAATTATGTTTAAACCAGAGAAAGCTATTTCATTAAACTAAAGCAACACTGAACTATTGAAAGGGTTGCTATGCACAAATACATCAAAATTATCCTGCAAGTGTTTCTAATATATGTATTTAATTGTGATATAATAGAGAACCAGTCAATGAATCCAGTTAATTTATCCAGCGAGGTCAGTCTGTCTGCCAGTCTGGCGGTGCCTGAAATATTGCTTGAAAAAGCATAACATTACTGAATAGTAATATCAACTTAAATTAGACATGCCCTGTCTATTGATATTCTAATGAATCTCAAAATTGAAGCAGACAACAGTGTAAAGACTGGTCAGACTGCAAGGTTGTAAACTGATAGAGTAGTTAGTGTCTATTAAAGAAATAACATATCCCAAACAGTAATTTTATCAAGAGATAAAAATTACAGATTTGGATATATTATTTTGATTCTAACATGATGTCAACAAATAAATGCTGCCAAACCATATTATATTAATCTAAACTGCGCCTGATATTGTTTCCGTACTTTATTTTTAGCGTGTCACATTTTTAGTAGTTTTGTCACATGTATAATGGTAATGTCACATGTATAAATATAGAATGTCAACAGTGATTTTATTGCATAATAACACACACTTTCTTTGTTCAATTGGGAAAAATGAGGGTTGTGTTAGAATTGCTGGTAACATTCAGAATATGATAATAATTATTACTAATAAATAATACTATTATATAATAGTACATGAGTGGCCTTCACAAACTTGAGATAAAGTAAGAATTAAAATCATTATTAAATTATAATTTCAGGTTGCTGGTTTGGTATCCTGTTGTCTCCTACTAGTTGTATTGCTGGCTATAGGACCTTACTTTAGAACATTACCTAATGTATGTACATATTACAGTGTTTATAATAGTGTTTATAATTCTGCACATTTGTAATGCCACTTTTCATTGAAAAACCTTGATGTTTATATAGTTTTATATACAAGGCTGCTGTCAATTTATGAAGAAATGTCACTTTTTTTTCTTTAAAAAGGAAGTTTGCTGTATTATAAATTTGTTATAAAAAGATTCCGGACAGATTATATGGCTGCACTAGTATATAGATGGTTGTTTGCAAAACATCCGTTTGCAAAACATCCGTTTATATAGGGCCATATAAGCAGCTGAAAATCTTTTTTACTAACATTATAACCTTAAGCCTGCAGTTGGAAACAGATCAGTGCAGACCAAAAGCAGACATCACATCTAGAAAGCACATCATCTGTGCCGTCTGATCTTGGTCTCCACTGTTTATATTTCAGTCATTACCTTTTTTCGAAAAATTCCCCTAAAAATGATAAATGGTTTTATCCAAATTACATGATGGACAAGTCCAATTCAGATCTGTAGGGGGTTAAGAGTTGAAGAGTTAAGTTTAGCATATGTTTTACAAATAAATTTCCGTTACACCTTTGTTTTTGTAAGCAACTAATTTTATTCGAACAGGTTTGTTGAGAATAAAGCACAAGAGAATGTATTGTTACCATTCTGGTGGTTCACGGGAGTTAAATCTGGCATGTTTTCAAACTATATATCATGATATATGATAAATCTACCTTTACTTTACATAGGCATTTGGTGAAGCAGCAAGTTCATGAACAGAATTTACATGTACAAAGAACATTTTGTCATTTTTTACTAAGATTGTAATCATGTATTTCATAGTTAGGTATCTAAACCTACCATCAAGATATGTATCTAAGTCATAGTCACAAAACTTGCTATGCATGGCTTCATTTGTGTTAACTTCTTTGTTAATATAATATATCTGTATATTTTCATTTACAGAGTGTTCTAGCCTCTATTATCATTGTTGCCCTGCGAGGGATGTTCCTACAGGTCCTTGATCTTAAGAAGCTGTGGCGAGTTTCATTGATAGATTTTGTAAGTGAATATAATGTACATATGATAAAACTTAGCAAATAATCATGAACTTTGCATAAAAATAAATTTATTCTTTACTTTATAATACTGCACGTTTGTTACTTCATTGGATAATAGTGGCGTTTATATAGTTTTATATACACGGCTGCTGTCGATTTATAAAGAAATCTTGATTTTTCCTCTAAATATGATGCTTGCTGTATTATAAATTCTTTATAAATATTTTTCAGAGGTTAAATGGCCGTATATAAACAGTTGTTTGCAATATAACCCTCACCTTGCGGCTCAGGTTATATTTATAACAGCTGTTTATATAGGGCCATATAACCTGTCAAAAATCTTTATAACTAATAATATACATGTATATTTTGGGGTATATGGGGCTGATTGGTTAAGGTCACTTACTTTGAAACATGTGCCAGGTTCACCCCATCTGGTTATAATCCAGTCAGAGACTTTGAATTGTTTTTTATGAGGAAGAGATCCAGATAGCTTATGTAAAGTCTGTGTTCTTACTCAGGTGGCAGATTATGCCTGAAAGAGTGGTACAAGGGATACATGATATATTCCTCCCTCATTAAAGCTATAAATTCACTGTATGACAGTCTATGGTGTCAGCAATACCCAAACAACATATCAGTGTATAGAATTAGAGTGCTGAATTCAATGATTAAAATGTGATGATTTATTATTTTGTATTTCTTTATAAGATTGTATTGTTCATGAAAACAATTTTTGTTATGTTTAGTTATATTTAAGCCTCTTACTAAAACTGTAGCAAATATGAAATAAAGCATCTGTAACTGCTATATATTTAAGTACGTTTCTGTTGTTATTGCAATATTCTATCATACATCTGTTATTATGATGACTTTAAAAAAAGAAAAACATGTTTCTTTTCTTTTTTAATATTTTTTAGTTGATCTAAATGAATAACAAAAAACCTCCAATAACTATTCATGTACTAGTACTTACTGGACATAACCAATAGCCAATGCTAATTAACTTCTAAAAGGTATGAAAATAAAACTATTTTGAAATAAGATTTTGCTTTTGTGATAGTTTGTGTGGATTGTGGCGTTTGTGAGTACAGTATTGTTGGATGTTGACCTTGGATTGGGAGCTGCTGTTGTCTTCAATCTTATAACTGTCGTCTGCAGAAGTCAAAAGTATAGTAGCTTTGTTATTGTTGATAACCAGCTTAACCCATATAAAAATGTCTTTAATTAATTTACCTTAACCTGCTGAATTTCTTAAATGGACTTTTCCAATTTCCATTTTGGAACAGTCCATTATTTATTTTGGGTATACCAAAGTGAGAATTTTGAAGTTGACCAGCCAAAAGTATAGAGCCTGGTCAGACTGTAGGATGTGCAAGCTGGCCTGGCGCTATACTGGTGGCAAAGACTTAAATCACTTTCGCCTTCAGCAGGGTAAAGGTTAAAGTATTAAAATTTAAAATATACTTATATCAATATATGAGGTAAATTAAATAATTTCATATGGAAGTTCCTTTATGATAATGTTTGACAGTCCACTGGTGTTTCTCTGAAACCTTTTGTTATAGATGTCTAGTTCCATTATGGTCTATACAGTCATGTATATTTGAATGTGTGTGTGTCACAGTTCAGAACTGATCACTAAATAAGGGAGAATATCATATGTGTAAGCAGCCAGATAGCTCGGTCAGTAGAGCAGTGGTATAGTATTGCGATGGACATGGGTTTGAGTTTGGATCAGGCTGCACATTTTTTCTCACCCTGTGACAGTTGGTGTCCAACAGGGTTTGAACCTGGGACCCTCACAAATACTGTACCATGCCTCTACCAACTGAGCTATCTGGCCGCAAACATAGCAAGTGAACAGTTCTAGACCATGACATATATTAGCATTTGCATGAGTCCTGCATGTATATTTTCTATAATGATATGATATATATTAACATTACAGACCATATGCCTGTTTGCTAGGACAGATGCCTGGAACAGATATATATAGGGACATGAATATTTACCAGGAGGTATACTGTCCTAGTTCTTATATCTTCTAATTGAAAGATTGGGTTGATGCTCCTACATTATGAATTTATATGGTTTTAACAGTTTACTTTGCATAGAATAACTCTCATATGGCTGAATTTTTAAAAAAAAAATTTGTTCACTTCAAGGAATTCATAATGATTTTTATCTTGAGCTATTATGATCGCTGCGTCATCGTTGTGAATAATTTTAGTGTACCACATTATTCAAACATTTTAAAAGTTAATCAACATGAAACCTTGAATGTTTGCTTATCATGACAAGGTGCAGTTGTTAGACAAGTGGAATAATTCTGAAAGCAATGTATTTGGATTTATGTCCCTTTTTAACTTAGAATTTGTAACAACACATGCAGTGTTCTTTCCTTTATCAAGTTACGATGAGATGAATTGCAAAATATGAATTTATATTCTTTATGAGTGAAACTAGAATTAATTGAATAAATTTCAGGCAAGAGAAATTGATGGTTTAAAGATCTTCAGGTTTGAGCAATCTCTATTCTTTGTGAACATAGAACACTTTAGAACACATCTCTACAAGAAAACTATTAATCCAAGGACATTAAAGATTGCCCAGAAGAAGAGAGAGGCAAAGCTAGAGAAAATGAAGAAAAAGGTATATTATTCTTTGTGGGGCACTAATTTTTGTGGTTTTCGTGGATAGGATCCATAATTTTATGTTCCAACAAAATTTCATTTTGTCTGCTGTAAGATTTTGCATTACATTATTTACATTTTACAATTTGAAAAAATAAACAGTCTACAAATTGAAGTACCCACAAAAATACTCTTTATGGCAAAACCCAAAAAGTGCATGTCCGCGAAATTAGTCTTTGACAGCAAATAAGCTGCATTATTCATTAATAGCGAAACAACTTGCTTTATTTTGCAACAATATAACAAGCTGCTTTATTCCATAACAGCAAATCAAGCTGTTCATTCCTTAACAACAAATCCAGCTGTTTTATTCTTAAACAACAAAATAAGCTGCCTTATTCATTAACATTTGAAGAAGCTGCTTAATTCATTGAATACAAAACTAGCTACCATATTCATTAACAATGACTCAGTATTTGACAATATCTTTATTCAGGACATTATGATTGTCGGAGAAGTGGTACCTGATGTTAGTATACCAGCTGATACATTTGACATGGAGATTGACAGTAGTGGCTCAGTGAAGATTCCAATAGAACAGAAACCTAAAACACCAATAGATGTGGACTTTCATACCATCATCTTTGACTGCTCACCATGGAGTTTTGTGGACTCTATGGGGGTGAAAGTTCTTACCTCAGTAAGTTTACATGTTCTTTATACAAATGATTTTTTTTAACAAATGTTTAAACAACTTTTCTTTGTTTTTTATCATCAAAAAGAATTATGAAAAAAAGTTCTCCCCTTTTGAGTTGTTGAAAATATGAATGATTAAACTCTATTGTGATTAAAGGTATCAACTAATTTATTTTCTCTCAAATGATTTTTCAGGCTTTTCAATGTTTGTAATTTCAATAAACTAAATGTTTAGGGTTCTATTCAATGATAAGGCATTAAAAGGTAGAAAACTTTGCCATAAAAGGTCTACAGGCAGAGTGGTCAAGGTCTCTGACTTCAAGTCACCTGCCCCTCAGTGCTTTGGGTTTGAGTCTTTTTAGGGACTTTGGAAACTTTTATGTGAGGAAGCTACCCATCTAGATTATGAGATTATGGAGGTCTGTGGTCCTTCTCAGATACCCATTTAAGTCTGAAGTAATGCAAGAAGGGGCACATGATGTCTTCCTCCAGCAGTAAACCTGGAAAGTCGCCGTATAACCTTTACAGTTTTGATGTGACTTGTTATGAAACAAAACAAATTTTACCACCACAAAGACACCATATGTTTGTTGTATGAAAAGATTGTTTGAAAACATGTTAAATGTTGTGATATTACAGATCATTGGTGAATACAAAGCTGTTGGGGTCAAAGTTATTCTGGCCAATTGCAAAGGTAAGACTGTTCAAATATATAAATGTTCAAAAGACCATTTTAAGTCAGTTTGGGAAAACATATGACTGTTTTACTAGAACTTTATTAAAATCACAACAACTGGACATAATGTATTGACCTCTGAAGTATTTACTGTATCTATTTATATTTTGATTAAATCAAGTAGTCTGTATAAAAAATTTTTTTCTAAACTATGCACCCATATTTTAAGTGTGATAAAATGAAACTTTTCAATTTAACCGTGATTCGTGCTCATATCTTAATTGATATACAAGAAACATCTTTGTTTGTCATCAAAAGTGACGCTGGTTAGTATTTGTAGGACTGCTTGTGTGGCCATGTTAGGTTTATGATTCATTAAACTTAAAAAGTTGAATACTTACATAAGTGTTTTATAAATTTGCAGGTGGAATCCGAGAGATGTTTGAAAAAACAAAGTTTTATGACACCTTAGACCATTCCAATATTTATGTTTCACTACATGATGCAGTGGTTAAAGCACTTCACATTGAAACTCCAGTTTATACATCACAGGTGTGTACCCATTAGTCAAGTGAAAAATTAGCCAGATAAAGTTGATATATTCCTTATCTTTAGTTTTAGCCATTTTGAAAATGTTTGCTAATAACAAGTTATACAGTATATAAAGGTATTTCTTTTATATCTGCTTGTGCTTTATTTATGTCAGTACATGTACATGTATTTCTAAACAATTATGCCAGTAAATAAAGCAAAGGCATCATGATTATGTACATAGCCCTTTCCTTGCTGGAAACAAAAGTAATTAGCCATTGGCCCCAGCCTGCAAGTAACTTATTTCATTGCGATTCTATAGAAAGCCATTAAAGTGAATTGGTCTACAGTGGGCACATTTTCTATATACATTTAAGAAAATTAAGAACACAAATGAAATGTAGCATTTAGATATTCTTATCAAATATTTATTGAGAAAAAAAAAGGTTGATTGAGTTTTTTAGTGGTTTAGTACGGTCATTTGTGTGATGAATTTTGTTCTAGAACAATTTATTATCTGGTTTATAAATATATGTTGTATCGGATCATAATATCTTACACTGATCAAAAACATATATATAAAATGATTTTGTTGTTTGTAAACACATAAGATACTAAATACTACCATAATAATTAGTTATGATATTATAGTCCTTCCATTATAGACCAATTCACTTTAACTTAGAGAAACACTCCTGAAATTCAGCCAGGCAAGTGACCTAAGGTTTATACATTGTATCTCAATTAAATGTTAAATTGTTCAAGATTGCTGAAGAATTTAGCCTTATATGACTGACAGTAAGACCTTGCTGAATTAATTAAATGGACCTGTCCTTCTATTGAACTTGGAACTGCCCATTGTGACATGGAGGGTATTCAAGTTTAAGTTATAGAACTAAGCAGCAATAGCATAAAGCCAGGTTTTTGATAGACAAGCTGGTATATATCTGTACTGATGGTGTATACAATGTTTTTAGAGTTCTTTGCATTGACAGTGGAAGTAATGGAAAAAAAAATCTGGATAAAGTGTGATCCTTCTGAAGCATTAATCACAACAAAATTAATTTAAAATTGCAGACTCGATTTGAAAGAGTCTGTACATGAGGGATAATGAAAAAGTGCAACATCCCACACAGCCCCTAGCACTGGCTTGAGCTGTACTCAATTTTCAACACTTGAAAGTGCTGGAATCAATGATCTTGAAGGACCAGAAAAATATAACAACACTGAAGTAATAATTTGTATTTGTAGGAAGATGCAGCCTCAGAACATGGCACAAGTATGGCAGATAAAGATGACTCTGTAGAGGATTATAATTTGGACTTTATTGATGATGAGTCAGTGAAAGGGAGAAGGGTATGAACTATCAAATGATTTAATACAATAATGTTGTATATTGTTCTTTGATATATACAGATTTTATCAGTGCTGTACTGAAATCTTGACCTTATATTACTTTCTCATTCTTTTCTATGAAATGCTTTAAGAAAGCAGTGAAATGTCTAATGATAATGAAGCATGCTAAAGAAAGTTTTCAGATTAATACAAATGTGTGTCATACAATCATACAAATATTTTGCCAACTGTCTTTCAAAAAAACACACAAAGATACATGCACATACCAGTTGTGAAATATGATACTGCATGTTTGTTTTGTAGCTTTTCATTGGATAATCATGACGTTTATTTAGTTTTGGATACATGGCTGCTGTCAATTTATGAAGAAATCTTTTTTTTTCTTAAAAAGTGAAATTTGTTGTTTTATTAATTCATTATAAAGATTCCTGCCATCATTTATGGCTGTATTCAAATGGTTGTGTGCAATATTACCCTTGTCTTGCAGCTCAGGTTATATATATACAAACGACGATTTATTTAAAGCCATATAAGCTGTTAATAATGTATATATCTAATATTGTACTTTTTTTTCTTAACCACCTTAATTTATTACTGAATTGTGAATATTTTCATTTGTTTTTAACAAAATAAGCATTACTAAATTTGAAGAGTTTTATATTGTCTTTGTACTTTTGTTTCAGAAACAGGGATCTAAAAGTAGCTCAACCCAAGCATGATCAGCTGTAATATATGAGTATGTACAGGAGGCAGTGTCACTTAACCAGTGGGAATTATAAACCAGCTGAATGTATCAAAAATTAATGTATCTTAAAGTTGAACTTTACACCTTATATAATACAGGGGAAGTAATTCATAAACCAGCTGATTGTATCAAATTGTAGCTTAAAGTTGAATCTTACACCTTATAATACAGGGGAAGTAATTCATTTAACATTTGTGTTTGCAAGTTATTAGTGGAATAAGAACTATTGATGACATAGGAATATATGGACATATGGCTTAAGGAAATTTATTGCAGCTAAATATTGTAATGTTTACTTGACAGAATATATAAGTATTGTAGGAGGAAATTAAACATGTTTGAATAAATCATCATATTTCTGATACCTTATGAATGAACATGGAGAAGTTATTCACATCTAAACATATCAACTCATTGTTGGCAAAGATATTAGATATGATGGCGATGTGTCATATAGTACTAATTTGATGAATGGCATAAACTTTGCTGCTGAACATTTATTTGTTACTATGGTAATATTGTTTCTAGGTAGGTTGAGTTACTGTGTTTTAAAAGTGTTTACAAAAGTATAGTGCAAATAAGCATTTGTTAGATACTACTATTACAAGCATTGCCTTCTTTGATCAGAACAATAGTTTTGCATATCCTTATTATACATTATTATACATGTAGATGAGTATTTTTAAACAGTAGTCAAGAAAGAAAAAGTGACCCAAATAATGGGTGTGACCTATTTTGTGTGAAGGCATTACAACCAGAATATATTAAGAGTGCATGATCTCATTATGTTTAGTTTAGTTGTGTGATTATTTGTTCTTTACCAGTATATTTATGATAACTACAGTATATTTGCGAGGACTTCAGTAAACATGTGAGTACTACACCTATATTGATGTGAATACTACAGTATATTTGTGAGTGCTACAGTATATTTGTAAGTGCTACAGTATATTTGTGAGTGCTACAGTATATTAAATTTTGTAAGTTCTACAGTATATTTGTAAGTGCTACAGTATATTTGTAAGTTCTACAGTATATTTGTAAGTGCTACAGTATATTTGTGAGTGCTACAGTATATTTGCGAGTGCTACAGTATATTTGTGAGTGCTACAGTATATTTGTGAGTGCTACAGTATATTTGTAAGTTCTACAGTATATTTGTGAGTGCTACAGTATATTTGTGAGTACAACATTATATTTATGATTGCTACAGTATGTAATTATTTATGAGTAGAGTAAATGTGAGTACAACACTATATTTTTAAGTACTACAGTGTGAATGTGTGATTACTACACCGGTATTTATATGAGTACTTCAGTGTATATGTGTGTATTACGTATATTTGTTAGTAATACACCAGTATATTTCTGTGTTCTACAGTATTTTTGTGGGGACTACAGTATGTTTGTGTGTACTACATGTACAGTAGATTTGTGTTTCCGTGTATTTGTATAGTTAATCAGATTGTTGATGAATGTAAACATATGTACACAACATTCGAAGCACACATGGAGAAATTAATCAGGGATATATAATGTGTGTTTGCTGTCATTTGATTTTAAACTGTTGTTCCAATTCATTAAGGTAATACAGTTTTGGGCTGAATGCATTGATTCTTTTAACCCATATAACTTACATGGTTTTATAGAGTACATTGTTTTAAGGAGGTTTAAGTACTAAAGCTTTTGTTGAAGATCATTACTTCTAGAATTGCTAAATTGTTTGATATTTCACTGATTTAACAAATAACAAGTCCTAAAGCTTTCTTCTTTATAAAAGTGCAAAATTGTTTGATATTTCACTGATTTAACAAAGTTCAAGTCCTAAAGCTTTCTTCTTTATAAAATTGCTAAATTGTTTGATATTTCACTGATTTAACAAAGTTCAAGTACTAAAGCTTTCTTCTTTATAAAATTGCTAAATTGTTTGATATTTCACTGATTTAACAAAGTTCAAGTCCTAAAGCTTTCTTCTTTATAAAATTGCTAAATTGTTTGATATTTCACTGATTTAACAAAGTTCAAGTCCTAAAGCTTTCTTCTTTATAAAATTGCTAAATTGTTTGATATTTCATTGATTTAACAAAGTTCAAGTACTAAAGCTTTTTTCTTTATAAAATTGCTAAATTGTTTGATATTTCACTGATTTAACAAAGTTCAAGTCCTAAAGCTTTCTTCTTTATAAAATTGCTAAATTGTTTGATATTTCACTGATTTAACAAAGTTCAAGTCCTAAAGCTTTCTTCTTTATAAAATTGCTAAATTGTTTGATATTTCACTGATTTAACAAAGTTCAAGTCCTAAAGCTTTCTTCTTTATAAAATTGCTAAATTGTTTGATATTTCACTGATTTAACAAAGTTCAAGTCCTAAAGCTTTCTTCTTTATAAAATTGCTAAATTGTTTGATATTTCACTGATTTAACAAATAACAAGTCCTAAAGCTTTCTTCTTTATAAAATTGCAAAATTGTTTGCTTTAACAATGATTTAAGAAAGTTGATTTGTTATAAAATATTTGTTTAAAATTGCTTATTTGCTTTCATAAGTTGAACAAGGTTTGAATACTATTGCTGTTCACAGAAAGATGTTTCTCTTCACTGAATTATTTCTCTACAGTTACTTTTGTAGTGAAGTACATGTATGTTTTACTAATTAAAAATAAAAAATGAAGTTTTTTTAAATATTTACAAGTCAGTGGTCTTTATAGTTAAATTGTTTAAATTATTGTTTTAACTTATTTATTCAAGCAATATTTTTGTTGCTACTTTTAGGCAATGCCATTTCCTTAATTTATGCCGTTACTAGATGTTACTATTTATGTTGTTTAACTATTTGATGTGTCAAGGATAAGTGTCATTTTATGAGATTCTAACATTCAAATAGCTTTTATATGAAAATGTATTTTATTACATTTTATTACATCTACAATAGTTTTACCAACTTTAATTAATGTTGTATGCTTCAGAGATGATCTCAAAAGAATTATCTATTTTTGATTCATGAAAAGAAGGAATTTTTAAGGAAAATAGAAAGAAGAAATGCTGTAACCTCTGCACTGGTGATTGTATATTTTATAATTGTGTTTTGTCCTTGTTATAAAAAATTATTGTGACCTTTCAAGATAAGCTCTAGGAAACTAAACTAGAAATAAGTTTCTATGTAAGAGATTTCCCCCTACATAATCAAAATAACTTGATTGATATATTTTTCTATCTCTTCTTTTGAAGCAAGAATTTGAACTTATTTGAAAGTTATATACAGTCATTTTGATAAAAAGGCATTGTAGAATTCAGAAAGTTTTGAGAGTTTTACAAAACAAATGTGCTGTATGGTTGTTTGGGTGGTAGACCACTGTATCTAACCACTAAATTCACTTGCAGATACAACTGCCTTGCCCTGAGGTAACTATTTGGAAATTACCTTTTCGTTTAGGATTCCTCTTAGTTTAATGTGCCATATAAAATAAACTATTGTTAATCAAATTAGCAACAAATGATATTATTACTGTAGATTTTATAGTTAACCGTTGTTCTAGAAGTAGATATTAAATGTAAAGAACAAAGATTTAGCTCTAAATTTTTTATTGGGATGATATCCATCCAGTGTTTTAATGATTTGATGACATTTTACCTGACAGTGGGGGTTGGTGTTGCCTTAAAAACATAAAATATAATGCAGCACAGAGTGGCTTTCAGCCTGTTCAGTTAGAATGTACCATGACTGACCAAAAATGCAACAAAACAAAGATGTGAATTAAGGTGAATTAACACAAAAGAGGCAGTTGATAGAAGTTGATTATTCTATTTTCCTATATTTTTTAAAATGTCTTGATCATTTTAGATCTATTCTTGACGTTTTAAGTCGTTTTAGAGAACTTAATATTATTTAATATTTGTGTATACGTAATATTTGTTCTTATGATGATACTCATATTTTAGCCCATAATTTAGAAATTGTTTCATAAATTGACCATTGAAACAAAATATAACCTTTGAAGAATGTACATGAACCTTAGTTTTTTACTGTATTTAGTTTACTTATATTCTAGTGAATCATGTAGTTATACAGTTTTAGTTTTTGAAAAGAAGCCCAGGAGTTTGTATATTGTCATTATGCTTTTCTTTCTCATTTTTTTGCTTGAACGGAAAACTCTTGTTGTCTAAGCAATAAGATGGTTTGCAATTTTTTAGATAATTGATTTATCAAAGGTAATTTAAAGATTTTAATATGATAGGATGTTGAACAACAAAAGGTACAAAGCTAAAGTTGCATACCCAAGTATTCTTACAAATGAGCCGCACCAAGACAAACCCTACATAATGGGTTTGCGACCAGCATAGATCCAGACCAGCCTGCGCATCCGCACAGTCTGATCAGGATCCATGCTGTTTGCTAACAGTTTCTCTATTTGTTATAGGGTTTGTAAACGAACAGCATGCATTCTGATCAGACTGTGTGGAAGCACAGGCTGGTCTGGATCCATGCTGGTCGCAAACCCATTATGTTGGTTTTGTCATGGCACGGCTCAAATATATTTACACATGTTTATTATTTTTTATTGTTTTATGTAATGTTATGTATATATAGTGAACATGTCATCAACTGTAAATCAAAGCTCTATTTAGAACCACAGAAATATGTAAGTTTTATAGCACTTTTGGACATGTTTATTGTTACAGATTTTAAAGTGTTTTATACCAACTTCTTGTCTTACTTGTTTTTTTTCAAAACCTTACTCTTGTTAAACCGGGTATATTCAGTAACGCACGAGTGTGAAAATAACCCAAGAATTGTGCAAAGAAAGGCCAAATCTGTGCAAAGCTACGGCCAAAACGAGTAACATCGTAAGTTTTAAAAAATGAACACACTCCTACGGCTGCTAAGACATTCTGTTCATTACAAGTCACAAATATTACCAGGAGTATGTTTACCTTCTATGATCATTCGTGACATATTCTTAAGAATATTGACGATTCTTGGCCTCAAGTTTATCAAATACAGTTTTATGAGCTAAACTCAATTCATCTGTGAAGAATGATATAGAATGGAATCAAGCCCCACGTTGACTAAAACTACCCTAAACAAAATAAAATGATTCTTTCTATATCACTATGAATTTTAATGTAATTTATATTTCCCGGTTTGGGGTATTCTCATTATTATACACAATTGGAAAAGAAACCACTTTTTTGCCTAAAGATTCATTACAAAAATTCGGCTGTGAAAAATTGGAAAGAATGCCTTTGCATGTCGGCCATGCAAATGGAATACATGTATCAGGTGCCAGTCCAAATTGCATAATATTATCAATCAGTCAAGCCCGTCTTGAAAGATATGATCATTAATTGTAGCAACAACTCGTTAGTTTTTCTATATTGTGCATATAATGGTCTCATTGGCCTCCCGTGCATCAAATAGTAAACATCACAAAAAATAGACCTGCATACCTATGTAATATCATTCAGTAAATCAATGAATTCAAAATTTATAGGTCTCCTTTTGGTAGATAATAACTTTTAAGGACATGGATGGTGACATGTCCGGGTCCGTACTCTTAGTGTCTGAATGGACTCTAATTATGCATAGAATACTTAAATACATAGACTTGAAACTTAACATACCATTTATGAACTTGCAAAATATCTGGTTAAGGTTTTACATGCAAATACTGTCTCAGTAATCGCTTGAAACTTAACACATTTCTGTAGGGTTGTCATTGTATGTCACTGATTTAGATATATGAGCCGCGCCATGACTAAACCAACGTAATGCATTTGCGACCAACATGGATCCAGACCAGCCTGCGCATCCGCGCAGTGTGATCAGGATCCATGCTGTTAGCTATCAGTTTCTGTACTTGTTATAGGGTTTTTAAGCGAACAGCATTGATCCTGATCAGACTGCGCGGATGCGCAAGCTGGTCTGGATCCATGCTGGTCGCAAACGCATTACGTTAGTTTTGTCATGGCGAGGCTCATATAGTTCCGAAATTGTATTGAATTAATTTTCTTATGACTCGCGGATAGACAAGCAGGTTATAGCCTTAATTAATAAATTTACATTGATTTTTTTTTCAAAACATTTGACCTTTTTCCTTTGCCGCAGATTATCTAACTAAAGTTTAAGCTCAGTGTTCAGGCAAATATATGATGAAGTTATGAATTACACAGAAACAGAACACATTTAGTTTGGACACAAAGGTTTTCAAGTTGTAGCTGTTATTTGATTACTAATATTCTCGCTATTTAAGTCGAACATTTAGCAATTTAAAATGTCTCGCAAATAATTTATTATGGATTTTGAGGTTCTCATTTAACTTGGCATAAAATGTTTGATTCTATGAGTCGGCATCAACAGAAACAAATTGGTTACATAAGTTCAAAATTTAGCAATCTGATTATTGCTTGGATTGTATCTTTCTCATGCATTTTTATATATATTTTTTATTACAAACATTAACCTATTCAGACATATGTTTGCTATGATAATGCAGTGTGTTTCATTATAAGCTCAAGGTCTTTCTGAGAGGTCAAATGTTAAAATGAGTAATATTCCAGATTCTCTATACTTTACTTTAAAAGGAACAATTTTGGTAGATCTAGTTTAAACAAGAGGGCCAAGATGGCCCTAGATCGCTCACCTGACCCGTCAAACTCATCCGAACAATTACCTAGACAAGCGTTCTGACCAAGTTTCATGACAGGTGTGTCAAAAATGTGACCACTAGTGTTAACAAGGATTATCCATATTTGAGCAGTGTGACCTAGTTTTTGACCCAAGGTGACCCATATTCGAGCTTGACATTCGAGCAATTACCTAGACAAGCATCCTGACCAAGTTTGATGATAATTGAGTAAAAAATGTGACACTAGAGTGTTCACAAGGTTTTTCTATTTTAAGCTCATGTGACGTAGTTTTCCATCCGAGATAAATCATGTTCAAACTTATCCAAGCATCGACTAGACAAGCATTCTGACAAAGTTTGATGATGATTGGGTCAAAAATGTGACCACTAGACTGTTCGCAAGGTTTTTCTATTTTTAGCTCCTGTGACCTAGTTTTCCACCCGAGATGACCCATGTTCGAACTCATCCAAACAATTGACTAAACAAGCATCCTGACAAGGTTTCTTAATAATTGGGTCAAAAATGTGACCACTAGAGTGTTCACAAGGTTTTTCTATTTATAGCTTCTGTGACCTAGTTTTTCATCGGAGATAAACCATGTGCAAACTCATCAAAGCAATTATCTAAACAAGCATCCTGACAAAGTTTGATCATGATTAGGTAAAAAATGTGACCACTAGAGTGTTCAAAAGGTTTTTCTATTTTTAGCTCCTGTGACCTAGTTTTTCATCAGAGATGACCCATATTCAAACTCATCTGAGCAATTGACTAGAAAAGCATCCACACTTAGTTTGATGATGATTGGGTAAAAAATGTGACCACTAGTGTTCACAAGGTTTTTCTATTTATAGCTCCTGTGACCTAGTTTTTCATCAGAGATGACCCATATTCGAACTCATCTGCGCAATTATCTAAACAAGCATCCTGACAAAGTTTGATGATGATTGGGTCAAAAATGTGACCACTAGAGTGTTCACAAGGTTTTTCTATTTTTAGCTCCTGTGACCTAGTTTTTCATCAGAGATGACCCATGTTCGAACTCATCCAAGCAATTGACTAGACAAGCATTCTGACCAAGTTTGATGATGATTGGTTCAAAAATGTGACCACTAGAGTGTTCACAAGGTTTTTCTATTTATAGCTCCTGTGACCTAGATTTTCATCGGAGATGACCCATGTTCGAACTCATCCAAGCAATAATCTAAACAAGCATTCTGACAAAGGTTGATGATGATTGGGTCAAAAATGTGACCACTAGAGTGTTCACAAGGTTTTTCTATTTTTAGCTCCTTTGACCTAGTTTTCCATCCGAAATGACCCAGTTTCGAACTCATCCGAGCAATTGACTAAACAAGCATCCTGACAAAGTTTGATGATGATTGAGTCATAAGTGTGACCACTAGTGTGTTCACAAGCAATTGTGGACGTACGACGGACGACGGACATTCACCGATCCTAATAGCTCACCCTGAGCAAGCTCAGGTACCAACCGACAAAATACAACAACATTATAGACTGAACAGTGTGCCGTTAGCGTAATGAAGCGTAATGAAAATATCGGCTGTTCTGCTCGTTTGCCTTGTCAATAATGATTAAATTATCATAAAATAATAAAAATTGACAAACAAGAACAAAATTACTATACCGTACCCCTTTAATAGGTATAAATTATAGATACTGTATATGCATGTATTCAGTAAAACGACTGCTGGATAGTAATTTTGTACTTGATAATTGAATCATCATTGTTTTATAACTTTTTCATTATTGGTAAGGCAAATAAGTTTAATGTCTGTTAAATTATATTTACTATACTGTTGAATTTCATCTGCTCTTATATAAATAAAGGATATCACACGTTGAACCTTTTCCAGACAAGAGATGTTATTGCATGAGTATTGCACCTAACCAGTTTTTTACTCATTTCTCACGACTGCCACATTTATTTGATTATTTATAAGGGTATTTATATTCTTCTATTGTAACGAGTTTTCATTAAATAGATTTAGGATCACGCCCGAAATCAAAAATATTCGACTGCTTTAGAATTAATTAACAAGGAAAGGAATGTTGATGAATCTAAATGTGAGATATAAAAATTTCAATCACTCATTTACACAATGAATAAACAGTAAAAAGTTTCGTTTCAAAACGAATCTGGAACAAAGATCTACGTGTTTGAAATCATTAACGTGTTGGGAACGGTTCTTGCGTAATAGTGACAATGTTCCAGATTTTAAATTATAGTCATACTTCGTTAGGAAACATATTTGCAGAACATATTTTAATTTGACTAAGCTTAATGATAAAACATTAATGAGTTTTTATCAATTAGTGACTTTACGATCAGAGTTTAATTAACTCTCCTCAAAACTGAACCTGTCGAATAATTTAAAAACGATGGATAATTCAGGATATCAAAGTGACACTTTAAACACAGTAAATGGAGCTGAACAATTTATAAATGATACTTCAAACACACCAACCGGCAACTCGTCTAAATGGAAGAGCAAGTTTGTGAAAGAAGATCACATAGTTGGTCCTGTAGAGGCTGTTAAAAATACAGGTACTTTAAAGTTTAAATTATTGGTTTGCGACAAAGAAGTAATACTTTCATCATTATATCTCATGGTTAAAGAACAAATGGTTTACGGGTCAATATATCTAATTATAGACATTTTGAATAATATAGTGGTCACTGTTGTCGATCCTGTATAACAATCTAACACCTATCAACTTCTTTACTGAATTACTTCTTTTATCTTATACAAAGTTTCATATATTGATATAAAAGGAATTTGAGTGACGTGATTATAAAAGTCAATTCCAGTTCAATTCTGCCTTTAAAATGACCAGTGAACTGGGATATGACTTGGTTAACGGTTCATGCATTTATTTCATGATGTACGTGTGATAACTTTATGCATATTTGCTTTTATCTTTACTTTTATAAAACTGGATACGATATTGTTGCAATTTTTTTTGGTCTAAACCTTTTGTATGTTGTGTAGATATGTTGATGTGAAATTGATGTATACAATAAAATATGCAATAAAATATTTTTCAAATAAATTATCTTTGATTAAGGAAACTCAGATATTCAACGACCACAAATTGACAATGACGCTATCGTCACACAGGCAGATTTTGAAGAAAAGTTTCCTGCAAATGCCAGAAATTCGTCAACTTTAAAAGAAGCGATTAACAGAAAACTCACAAAATGTAAATGTTCCACATTGTGCATTAAGCATTTTGTGTTCTCTGTACTGCCGTGTATTAACATAATCAGACACTATAACTTGAGGAGGGATTTAACAGGGGACATTGTTGGAGGCCTTACAGTTGGAATAATGCATATACCTCAAGGCTAGTATACTCGCATTGCAGATATTTATGTTTTCCTCTCTTCTTCTTTCTTTTATTTTGATAATCGCACACATCTGCAGATGCCATTTTTATTCTAATTTTCATTAACTTTATATTTAAACATCGAACTCTTTTTAAACCAGTGCATTGATGTGTTAATGGTATAAATTAATCATTGTCGTTCATTAACAGTAATGTCAAACCGAGACTGCACAATTTTCAAATTTGCGTGTTGTACAACAATTAATTTTTAATTTATTTTCCATTCCCTTATACCTATTTTCAATTATTTTATTTCAAGTTTTCTTTAAAAAAAATAAAATATGTGTGAGTAACACATTGCTCCCGTTGAGTCTTTAAAAGTGTTAATCGTTATAATTTTACGAAGCATCATGTCTATTTTAGGTATGGCTTACGCCATGTTGGCTACATTACCACCAGTGTATGGTCTTTATACATCATTCTTTCCTGTGATTGTATATTTCTTATTTGGTTCTAGTAAACATATTTCTTTAGGTAAGATATATGACAATTTCTTATACCATGTAAACAAAACAATAAATAGTGATGATGATTTCTTAAACAATGAAGTGTCATTGTCATTTACTGCATTTTACTAGTTTATCGTCTATTTGAAATACAAGCAATTATTTTCTTAAATCAGGTACTGCTTCTGTACCATGTTTGATGATAGGTACAGCTATTTCAAAAGGATTAGATGGGCTGTCTAAATCAGAAGTGATTCCTTCATTATCCAATGCTACATGGAACGCCATCAAGATTAATACAGACAACCTGTCTGAAACAACAACAACAACAACAAAGTCAATATCGACAGCAGACGACACATCAGAGATGTCACCAGAGGAGCTTGATCTCCGGCTTCAGTTTGCCATGTCTGTTACATTCATGGTTGGAGTCATTCAGGTGAAAACCAGCTGTTTCTGCTTCAGATGAAAATCGTTTAGATTCCTTCATTTATTGTAATGCGCAATACCTATTTTTTCTATAATCTCCTAGCTTTAAATTAATACTTCAATATGTTTGAATAAACCGTTTATAATTCTTGTTATTTGGTGAAGTATGCTGATTAGAATAGTTATGCAAGATATTAACCCTACATATATCTAGTTTTCGCCCTAATGTTTATAAACAGTTCTCCTTAAAAATTAGAAAAAATATTATAATAAAATAATGATTTCATTAAATGGTATTCGGTACTATTTCAGATAGATGAAAGAACAAACACGATTTTAAGATTTTAACTTATTTTTGTGTATTTCTATTTTCAGTTGCTGATGTCAGTATTTCGTCTTGGATTTATCACAGTGTACATGTCGGATGCTTTGATAGGCGGTTTCACCACTGGTGTTACCTGCCATGTCTTCACTAGTCAAGTTAAACACATTTTTAATGTTAAACTCAAGAGTTACAGTGGTATATTTAAACTAATTTATGTAAGTATTATAAAAGCATGTATGTTTGATTTGGTATAATATGTTTAAGCACTCAAAAGTGGTTTGGAATTAAATGGGATAGAAACTCAAAAAAATAATTGAGGGATTGCTATTTAATAAAGAAGTTTACTCCTATCTAATAACGCTATTATAATTTAATTTTATTGTAAATCCTTTTCTTATTATCAAGGAATTATTTAAAGGACTGTTAATAAACATTAGCGTTTTATTATTTTTTCTGAACGACAACTGTTTATTTGTCTTGCAATTATTGGAATGACTTAAAAAGGTAATCATTATGTCTGTACATCATACATATACATAACTACATAAGCTATTAATGGCATCTTTGATTTCAGACATATCGAGACTTCTTCACTAATATCTCAACAACAAATTATGTGACAGTGTTGTTATCAGTTTCCTCCATTACTGTGTTGTATTGTGTATCAAAGTTCATCAACCGAAACCCTAAACTTCAACCTAAAATGTTCATGCCTGTCCCGGTTGAACTAATCGTGGTAAGAAAGTGGTTTCGTCCTTTGGGCGACTGAGAGTTCAAAATGAATTTAAAAACACTTAACGTGTTATCGGAGTTCTTGAACGATTTTGCAAATTTGTTTGACTGTAACAAATAACTTATTGAGTTTTTATATAAAAAATGAAAAAAATGTAGATAAATAATAAGTAAGATTAGAATACTGGTATGTACTGTGTGTTACTCTTTCTGGTACAGTTAACGATAGATCTTTGTGAGAAATTAACACTAAATTGACTATAACGAGATGCGAAATCCCGTTGCTTTTTTCTTATATAGCCCACTATCATTTACTTTTTCAATATTTTACAGGTTATCATAGGAACAGTTGTCTCTTATTTTCTGAACTTATCGGACTCTTATAACGTGGCTGTTGTCTCGGATATACCTACCGGGTGATATTTCTTTTTCTTTTTAGCTCGACTATTCGAAGAATATGAGAGCTATTGTAGTCGCCCCGGCGTCGGCGTCGGCGTCCGCGTCGGCGTCTGCGTTGGTTAAAGTTTTTTGTAAAGTCAAATATCTCAATTATTACTTGAGATATTCAATTGAAACTTACAATACTTATTAATAGTAACAAGGTACATCAGATAGACAAGTTTGATAACTCTGCCTACAATATTGACAGAATTATGCCCCTTTTTAACTTAGAAATTTTGGTTAAAGTTTTTTGTAAAGTCAAATATCTCAATTATTGCTTGAGATATTCAATTGAAACTTACAATGCTTATTAATAGTAACAAGGTACATCAGATAGACACGTTTGATAACTCTGCCTACAATATTGACAGAATTATGCCCCTTTTTAACTTAGAAATTTTGGTTAAAGTTTTTTGTAAAGTCAAATATCTCAATTATTGCTTGAGATATTCAATTGAAACTTACAATACTTATTTATAGTAACAAGGTACATCAGATTGACAAGTTGGATAACTCTGACTACAATATTGACAGAATTATGCCCCTTTTTAACCTAGAAATTTTGGTTAAAGTTTTTTGTAAAGTCAAATATCTCAATTATTGCTTGAGATATTCAATTGAAACTTACAATACTTATTTATAGTAACAAGGTACATCAGATTGACAAGTTGGATAACTCTGCCTACAATATTGACAGAATTTTGCCCCTTTGGAACTTAGAAATTTTGGTTAAAGTTTTTTTGTAAAGTCAAATATCTCAATTATTGCTTGAGATATTCAATTGAAAATTAAAATACTTTTTTATAGTAACAATGTACATCAGTTTGCAAAATTGCATAACTCTGCCTGCAATATTTTCAGAATTATTTGCCCCTTTGAAACTTAGAAATTTTGGTTAAAGGTTAAAGGTCTTCAAAGATATTTACTTGAAACTTTACACATGCACTTAGGGTCATAATTGGAAATTGGAGGGTCATAATTGTATGTCACTGACCAAGTTCCATAACTCTATCTTGCATTAAGGCTGATTCATATCCCCTTTCCTACTTAGTCTCTTGGTTAATGTTTACATGCAAGTTTTACATATCTCAATAACTATTAAAGATATTTATTTAAAACTTCACATATGCATTTAGGGTCATAATTGTAGGTCACTGACAAAGATCCATAATTCTATCTTGCATTTAGGCTGATTTTTCTCCCCTTTTTCAACTTAGAAATTCATTTGTAAGCTGTTATCTCAATAACTACTAAAGGGTTTGTGCCTTTTTTGGGACAATTTTATGCATTCATAATAATTAAGCAGTGATTTACTTGATAAAACATCTTAAGAATAAGCCTTTGTACATTTTCTGTCAAATTTATGTATTCATAGGTAATTAGTATTATTATACTCAATAAAACACCCTTGTGGCATTACCTTCCGAATAGTCAAGCCAATACTGTTTAATTAGACTCTCTCTGAGGCCTATAACAAGAATTTATAAAAAAAATTAGCCCTTTTGTAAACTTAAAAAATTTAACATTATCAAGGCTCTTTTACTATCAAGCACTTAGAATAGTCGAGCGTGCTGTCCTACAGACAGCTCTTGTTTAAATATATAATATATTTTTTACAATATAATAGTACAGGGAAGTGAGATAACTAATTGTTTTAATCATTTTAAATACAATTCAGTTTTGCTACTACGGACTTTGTTGCAATATTAAACCGCTCTTTTTTAATTGATCTTAATTGATCTTATCCAACTACAATAAATTATTACTTAAGTATGCCTTTTCTCGTTGACTTACACTTGAACAAATATCGGCTGTTAAATGTATTAACGATTGGAAGCTTCCAATGGCAAATACTTAAGATGTTTACCTAATGTCCTTTCTAGTTTACCTTTGATGAATGTCAGTAGCGTTTCTCTAATCTCACTATTCTCACTGGATAACAGTTTGTGAATGTCATTGTCATTAACATTAAGCTATTATTTCAATGCTTCGAAACGTTTTCATGTTCTTACTAGTCTACAATATCAGTAATGAGTGCTCATAGTTTTAAGCTTATTATTCTGTTTAGTTTACATGTATCTTTGGCCAAAAACTGCCCCCGTCAGTTTTGTTGCTAATGCCATTATTTTAAAGATATCTTTTACTTTCTCTAGGCTACCTATGGCAAACACCAATGGGTTAAAGCGTTTATCATGGACCTTACTAACGGATGCTTTCCCTATTGTTATTGTCATCTTTTCAATTTCAATCTCCATCGCAAAATCTCTTGCAAAGAAGCACAATTATGAAGTGAATGCAAATCAGGTTTTTATTTCTATTTACAAAATTAATGAGTTTAGCATTTTATTATTCTACATATTATCAATCATATTTTATTGCTATATACATGTATATACAATACAATACAATACAATACAATACAATATTATTATTATACTTCATATGTAGACTTGGTTAAATGTTAGTTTTTTTCAATACTCTTTTTAGTCGATTGAACCGGATTTTTTTCCAATGAACGTTGCAGATCTACGATTGTTTTATTATGACGAAACGCGAAGACTATTATTTAAAACGAACCATTGGGTACTGTACACATTAGTACAGAGGACTTTTATTGAAAGATGTCACCTTATATTGACATTGCGCTAATACTGTTATATATACATGATTGTATATATGTGTTACCTTTGTAAAAGATATATAGCTCCTTTCAATAAGATTGTGCATGAAAGTAAACCAGATCTAAGATGTTCCGATACTTGAATGACTTTCAGGAATTGCTTGCATTTGGAATGGCATCGATTGCATCCTCGTTCATGTCATCTGTAGCGCCTATGGCAGCATTGTCCCGTGCGGTAGTCGGAGATAAAGTCGGTGTTAAGTCACAGGTTGTTTTAAACAGAATTGTTTTTAAATATAAGAAGTATACCTAATTATTTTCTTCGTTTTCTTTAAAGATAAATATTGGATTTCACGATGTCTTCTTTCTTTTTCTATAAATATTTTCTCTGGTTAAGGTAAATAGATATAAAACAATAAAATACAGCTTCTTGAAATATTCTGTAACTTAGTTCAAATTGTCAATGTCTTTTTTGTTTTTAAATTTACAATGGTACCCTTTACTCTTATGATTTTATTGCAGGTGGCGGGTCTAGTCTCGTGCTCACTACTTCTAGTTGTTTTATATGTAATTGGGCCTTACTTCAAGACAACACCTAAAGTATGAATACTTATTGCGTATGAGAGAACTAAAGGCTAAATATTTGACAAAACAAACGTTTATGTAATTACCATTAAAGGTCTGACAAAATGAAAAAAAAGTATACACAATGGCAAGTTATATATTTCCAACCTTTTTCCTCAGTAAAAGATTATAATGATATATAATTATGTATTATTCCAACTATCTTAAATTTACCTTTTTTACCATATACATGTACTGTTTAAACTTTTTTATCATTGTTTTCAGTGTGTTCTAGCATCAGTAATAGTGGTATCTTTACAAGCTATGTTTCTACAAATTCTAGACCTGAAGAAAATTTACCGTCTATCAAAAATAGATTTTGTAAGTAAACACTGAGTGTTAAGTGAAAATACGGTATTTGATTTTTACAGATCGTTCTTGCTTATGTTTTCATTAAGAACTCATACGCATGCTACCGTAATTTCGTTATTTCATTTCGTTTGTACATTACTTATTAGTTTGTTTTTTTATACAACAATGTATCGAGGGTTTACCCAAACAAGTTACTATAATCAGTATCATTATTATATTTAAATAATCAATTTGTTGTTAAAAGTAATAGGAAGGCGGCTCTACTGTTCATATTTTTTAATTTACGCACAAATTTTACAAGATACAAATATCGGAACATGTCCTCTACATAAACAGTGTACAAAACCCACTACAATTAGCTTACAAATAACAGTTAACAGGGGGAGAGCGGCCTGGCGCACGATTACAATGCAATAAAGGACGTTGCAAAATAAATTTCAAAATGTCACAAGCATCAAATTCTTGCTCCTCTCTCCGAATCAATGGACCGGGAACGGACCGGTTCGCAATATTTGAGTTATTCACCCATCGGGAATGGACTTATAATGTACACTCATAAATCTAGTTAAATCAAATAAAATAGTGTTTAAAACACAGGTCTCATTTTCAATTCTTTGGTCAAAGTGGAATGAGTAGAGCGGATGCAGACACACGTGAACTGTTTACCATCGAATCTTTTGTAGCAATAACGTCCCGTCAGTTTTCAACTTTCTCCCTCGCCCTTTCTTATGTGTTTCTTGGAATTGCTTGCGCCTTCTGAAAACGATTTCCCCGCTGGCTGAAACTCGTATGTACAAAACATGTAAACATTGATGTATTTTATTCTGATAGATTGTGTGGATTGTAACATTTGTATGTACAATATTACTGGATGTAGATCTTGGTCTTCTTGTTGCTATAGGAGTCAATCTGGCGACCGTTATTTATAGAATACAGAGGTCTGTATTTTTGTCATATCATTCTTGTCATTGTTCGACAATCCATTGAACACCAACAACCGCCTTGATTATTTTAAAGGTTTTAAAATCACAAAATTGAGCAAAAATATATCTCTTAAATTGTAATTAAATTGTATGGTTTCAGTATAAGCTTCTCCAGCTATGTGTTTTTGAAATTGCATGACAAGATGTTGACGTCTTCATTATAAACGTACAAAACTTTTGTCTTGTAATTACCAAATGAATGTTAAAATTATTTTGCTTAACAATCATATTTATCTAGTCAGATAAAATTTTTACATTTCAGACCAACATTTACAGTGCTAGGACAATTGCCTGGTACACATGTATTAAGAGACGCCAGTGTGTATAGAGAGGTTAATTTGCATCCGTCTATCTAAAATATAAATTAATGAGAGCCAATAGATTTTTAAACAGCTGAATAATATGGATACATCTTTGCAATATATATATATTCTAAAGCAATGTAAAAAGCTTAACAACATATGGTTATACACACTTTTGTTAGCTCACCATTTAGCTATTGTCTAAAAGTTTTATCTTTTTAGGAATATTACCGTTTTTTCCGATTTAAAAATACATCATTATAACTTTTTAGAAAATATTGGAAAAGGAACACAATACCATTCCACTACACCCCAGTCAAAACTTTTGTGTTATATATTTTGAATTCTGTTTTTAAGGCTATGGAAATACAAGGTATCAAGGTATTAAGATATGAACACTCTTTGTTCTTCTTAAACAAGGAACACTTCCGTGCATATCTGTACAAATGTGTAGGGAAACCATCAAAAATCGCTTACAATCGTATGATAAGAGACAAGATTCTACAGGTAAATGTAACATCCTATCTTATTTACCCATACCCAGATGAAACCGAAAGTGTTTAGCCTTTTGCACCAGTACAATGCCAGGCCAACCTGTGCACCAGCACTGTCGGCTGACTAGCTTTAAATTTTGATTTTGATATCTCCAAACATTAAATTAAATGTGAGCTTGACCAGTCCATTAAAGAAAATCAGCAGGGTATGGATTAATTTACGTCATACTTAACGTCTTGCATTGCCTAAGTTGTCACAATCAATTTTCCTTCTTAATTATTTGCCTTACTGCCAGTGCCTCGTACATTGTAAAACATGGCGTTTCTTTGTTCAAAATAATAGTATTGAGTGAGCAATATACAAAATACAATTTCTTTGCTGGCATATTTCATGATTTGAGGAAAGTGTTGCATCTTGTGTTCCTCGCTATATTTCATTTCATTTCATTTTATATGTATAATATTTTAACCGTCTTCGTATGTATTTTCAGAATAATATGGCGGTTTTACCAAATACACAAATAGATACAATTATAGAGACCCAATACAATACAGGTGTCAAAAATAAATGTCAGCACGATCTTGGCTTGCATACAGTTATTCTAGACTTTTCATGTGTGAACTTTATCGATTCTTCTGGTGTAAATGTCCTTGGCGATGTAAGTATACCATAATCATATACAAAATTGGTTTAAAAAATTACTAACCACGAAAGATAAATAGGATTTTATGAAATGTATTTGGCATGTATTTTTGTAAAGAATAATAACTTTTTTGTTATCTGTTTTAATATAAAATATTACAGATTGAGTTTAGCAAAAATCTTACATACTTACATACTTTCGTATTATATGACTTTGTGTTTAGATATAATATTCCGAAGGTATATTAAATTTACTGATTATATTATAATTAACTTTTCAGATTATATCTGAATACAGACTGGCGAATATCGTTATCCTGCTTGCTAATTGTAAAGGTGTGTATTGTTTTCACACGTCCCCACACCCCAAAAAATAACACAATCATTGTTAATACTGCCCAATTATTTATGATATTCATTTTCATTTCTTATCCATTTCTGCACTTGTTCGTTTTGTGATGAAATTAATATTATTCAAACAGATACAATAGCAAAATAAAATAAAGTGATTTTCTTTTATTCTGTTACAGAGCTAGTGCTTACAACATTTAACAAGACGAAGTTCTATACCACATTGGATAGGTCAAATATATTTCTGACACTCGACGATGCTGTGAAAGAAATACTAACTAACAAAACACAAAGTGTTCGGTTCTAGGTTTGTTAAGATTTGCATATTTCAACATTGATAATCAACTCAGAGCCTAGTATATATAAACCCGCCTCTGTGTACTGATAAGCCCTCCTCTGGCTAGCCTCTGCATGTATGTTTATATTTCAGATATTGTTGAGTTTGTGATTGTGAACGTATCTGTATGAATGCAATAAAGTTATGTCAAACCATCCCGTTTTGGGTCTGTATATGTACAACACGGACAGCATTACATACTCGTTTTCTATTTTCAAAGATAAAATCAACAATAAAAAATATGTATTGTTTTTATGAAACTTTAAATTCAGAAACATGTGTGATTTTCATTTATATTCGTGATTTTCCTATCTCCCTTTTAGTCATATCAGATAAACATTTTGTTAATGAAAAATCAAGAATATAAATGACAATCATACATATTTCTGAATTTAAAAAATCATCAGAACAATAATATTTTGTTTTATTTTATCTTTAAATATAGAAAACGTGTTTCAGATTATTTATCGAAAGAGGTTGCTTTTACTGGAATATGACAAATAGTACTTTGGGAAGACTCAATAAACTAGTAGTACATGTGAAATATTTAAATCATAAAACAACTCATGTGAAAAAATCATTCTTCTATTTTATTTATAAGCCTTACTTAAGAAGTATCAAACACAGCCTTTTCTCAGTTTTTGAAGAAAATATTTTTTTTTCAATTAGGAAAATAAGTAACAATGTAAAATATTGTTTACTATGCATTTTATCTAAATATCATAACCTTCTCATAAAAAAAACAACAAAAAACATTAGAAGTAAATCGAGTAAATCTTGTTAAGATAATGGTGAATCAGATGATGATCATTAACATTATAACAACAACAAACTTTACAAAACGAAAGCAGCTTATCAAGACAATAAATCAAAGCATCAATTATGATACAAAAAGTGGAAAATCATTTTTAATAGGCCTTCACATGAAAATGTTTAGACGTAATATTATAGTTTAGTAACAAAAACATTTTAGGTGTTTGAAATATTTTACGAGAATTAGTAATCAGGGGCTTTTTAAAAATAATTCTGGCGATGGTTTTTCGCAAAATTTCGTTACCTTATTTGTGGCAAATTTATTGACTTTTGGACCATGTTATACATCCACGGGCAAATACCTTCAAATAATTCTTTATTGACAATTTAAATTCTTTCAATAGGGATATTTTCAAGTTGTGTTAAAGGTAAACTGTTGTAATCTTCAATGCACAAATTTATTATATCTACTTGCCACTTCCAATCACAGGATTTGCTGCGGTACTTTTCATCCATCAATGAAAGATTAAGATTCTATGACTTGTATAATATATGTTTAAAAGAATACGAATGTCAATATAAATTAATACCTTATTAAACAAGTGGCTTTATAACGAACAAAATAATGTATATGTTTGGCCGTGCATATTATACATGTCTGTAAATGAGCCGTTTACCTACACTGATATATTTCCACTAATGTAACTTTGATTGGATTGAATATTTTGAGTATTAAATAGGAACTAAGAGTTTTTCGAATTTCAGCCTGGCAGTATACTATCTATACAATCTGTACACAATCTATATATGCATATCAGATAATCAAAATGACCGAAAGCAAAAATATATACACACTGGTTGGAGAAAAAACCCTCCACTTAATAACTTAATTTTAGCAATATCTTTCTCATCTGTTGAAAATTTACGATTTTGACAAACATGAACAAACTTCGGTTTAAAGTTTTGCTACAAAAATTATTATGAAACTGGCTTTTCTTTATGAATGAGTATCCAAACATTGTCTTTATGGCCCTGAATGAGGAATCCAAACATTGTCTTTATGGTCCTGAATGAGGTATCCAAAACATTGTCTTTATGGTCCTGAATTAGGTATCCAAAACATTGTCTTTATGGTTCTGAATTAGGTATCAAAAACATTGTCTTTATGGTCCTGAATGAGGTATCCAAAACATTGTCTTTATGGTCCTGAATTAGGTATCCAAAACATAGTCTTTATGGTCATGAATGGGGTATCCAAAACATTGTCTTAATGCCCCTGCATGAGGTATCCAAAACATTGTCTTTATGGTCCTGTTTGAGGTATCCAAAACATTGTCTTAATGCTCCTGCATGAGGTATCCAGAACATTGTCCTTATGGTCCTGAATGAGTATCCAAAACATTGTCTTTTTGGTCCCGAATGAGGTATCCAAACATTGTCTTTATGGTCATGAATTAGGTATCCAAAACACTGTCTTTATTGTCCTGAATGAGGTATCCAAAACATTGTATCTATACTTTGACAGCAGATACAGTCAAAACTTCCAAATTTTTTAATCAAACACTACATGGAAAACCAGCCTAAATGATTGACTTTTACATATATTTCATTATTTTTTAAAGAAATTGACAAAGTTTGCGGGAAAACTATTTTAAAAAATATCTTTTTATATGACATTAAATTTTGAAAAAGACGTTAACCTTAAACCCGAAAATTTAAAATTTTTTTAAACTTGAAAATTTTACCAAAAGCCGTCCCTTTTCTTTTTGACCAAGTAGATTTTTATTGGAATTTTTTTTAAAACAATTAAAATTACCAACTGTTGAGGTTATATATGTGAAAGAGTAATTTCTCCGACCAGTACGTGCATATTATTTTTCAAGGATAATTTTTACAAAAGTAGAGGGAGGTGAACAAAAATGAAACAATGTTCTTTTGGATAATTATCAATAAATGACACATAATCAACAAAAATAATAATAATAAAAATAAAAACAACAACAACATTTCAAAACACAAAATCAATAAGGCTATGAACAAGCAAACCAAGATTATACATGTACACCCTTACAAAGTGTAGTGGAATTAAAAGTGTTGACCGTTTTATTGATATAGAATGAACTTGAAGTTTTGCAAATAGAATGCCTAAAATAAATACAAGTATAATTTTCTGATTCATGTTCTGGATATTAATGCAATATAAAACAATGTAAAGGGTCCATAAGTTTTTAAGAATAAAGACGAATCCATCTTCTACATATCACCTTTGCCATTGTCACTAACAACGTTTTGGATATATCATCTTAGGATAGATTTCTTGATTTTTGAGTTATTGTCCTTTGGCAATTTTCATGCTCATGACTGAAATTATTTAGGGTAATGTCTTGAAAGGTGGAGTATAGAGCAAAAGAAAAAGGTTTCTTAACCCTATATTTTATCAGTTATTGCACATTATATTTTCTTGCTTCTTCATGGTTTTTTTTCTAAAATTTGTTCTTATTTTAGTATCAATGTAACAAACGGAAATGTAATTTTATTATACCTTTAGAGCTTTACCAGATAGTGTTACAGAATAATACATGAGTATTAAAGGATACATTCGCTATTAAATAGGTAATTTTTCGGCAATTTCCAAATTTTCTCTTGTATTAATTAAGAAATGACAGATTATGTCTCCTTTTACATTTTAATTCTTATTTATCTCAATTACTCCCCAAAACACCAAACCTGAATGTAAACCGTCTTTTTGTTTGCTAAATAAGAATATCATGTATAAATAATTAATAAAACCTTAATCAACACATCGGACATTTTTAAGTTTAGAAACCACTTCATACTTACCAGGTGTTGCATTTGAAAAAAAAAAAAGATTAAGCATTAATAATACCAAATATTCATTGACTTCAACAAACGTATTGCATTGTTTGTCCCTTTTTTCATAGCATTCTAATTTACGCAGTCATTTGCACTAAACGCATTGTTATTTACAGGGCTTATTTACAAACGATTTCCACTTCCAAAGAACATGATTTCCGCAACAGATACCAAAACTAGGTGAAAAAACTTCTTTTCCACAACAGTAAGAGTCACCACCAAATTTCTTTGATACAATGGCACCGTCGCAACATAAATGTAGCCCAGGATCATAACAATCTCTTTGACAGCACGCAGTGTTATGTTTGTTTATGCTTATAACAACATTACAGTCACAGCAAATTTGTCGTGAACTATCCATAGTTTTGTTGCAGCAACAGCAATCATCATATTTGGTCGTTTTTTCAATAATGCGTCCTTCACAGCACAAACATCGGTCTGGATCATAGCTTTTTTGATTACAACAACGCGTATTCGAACCGGCAAGTTTATCTTGTACAACACCATCGCAACACATTTCATTGTTGTCGTTAAAGCTAACACCATCACAGCAACGTGTTGTTTTGATTCCTTTCATTGGTTGTACAATTTCTGTATCTTTGTTATTACAGCATACATGCGAATAGGGATTAAATGTGTCATTTCCACAACAAAGCAAATCATTTGTCATTGTCTTTTTCCTAACAGTTTCCTCACAGCACAATTCAGTCTTTAAATTTATGGGTTTACCACCACAACAATCAGAACTTGAAATACCTCCAACTATATCATATAATATACCTTGACAACATATCTTTCTATTTACATTATAACTTATCTTTCCGCAGCAACGCGTGTTTTCAGGTTTTCCGCTCAAAATTTGGTTTGATTTCTCCTCACAGCATAGTTCAGTTTCAGGATTAAAACTTTCGTTTCCACAACAACTAAAATCAGTTTCACGAATTTTTCTAACAACGTGCCCCTTTTCACAACATAATTGAGAAAGAGGGTTAAAGGCGATGTCGCCGCAGCATTCAGCATTAGCACTGTGTTTTTCTATCACTTTGTCCAGACAACAAAGATGTGTGTCAATATTAAATGACATCATGTTACAGCATTGATGATCGGTCAGTCTCGATTTTTTAACTACAGTTTCATTGCAACACAGATCTAAATTTATATCATAACTTGTATGTTCACAACACGCTGTTGTGTTACTAAGTTTATCTTGTACAATGCCTCGGCAGCATATCTGCGTTTGTGTGTCATATGGCTCTTTGTTGCAGCAAGCATTATCGTCTTTATCATTTTTAGGATATAACTCATGGCCGTCACAGCATATATGAGTTCCTGAATTATAACTTATTGCACCACAACACACTGATCGTCCTTCTATTTTAGGTTGAGGATTATCATTGCAGCATATTTCTGTATTTGTATTGAAGGAAATTTCGCCACAGCACCAATTATCGTCCTTTTTTACCCTTTTGCTCAGTTTATTATCACAGCATACATGCTTCTTAGAATCATAGCTCTTGGACAAACAGCAAAGGGTATCATCTCCTGCTACTTTCATGTTTGGTTTGCCATCACAGCATAACTGTGTAGCATCATTTAATGTTGTATTACCACAACAACAGTTGTCGCGCAAATTTACTTTATCTATTACTTTATTGTTGCAACATAAATGGGAATTTACGCTCATACTATTATTCCCACAGCAAATGCCAAATTCGACATTGTCGATTACATTAAGCGGCTTACCAGCGCAACAGATCTCATCACGAGTGTTATACGTTGTAAAGCCACAACAAAAATTATCGTCAATTGTTCTCTTTTTTCTGACATTACCTTGACAACAAATTTCATTCTTAGTGTCGTAACTTTGACTTTTGCAACATGCAGTATGACTTCTATTTTGTCGTTGTTGTACTCGATCACCACAACATATTTCAGTGTCAGTGTTAAAGGTATTTACCGTACCACAACAATGATTGTGTTCTTTATCTGATTTTTGCACTAAAAAGGTACCATCACAACATACATGATCATTTGAATTATAGCTGTACCTATCACAACAAAGTGTTGACTCCCCTTTCTGCAATTGTGGAACGTTGTTACAACATACTTCTTTAAGGGTATTGATCGGTTTGTTACCACAACAACTATTATCGGACATGTCTTTTTTTAATACTACTGAATCATCACAACAGATTTCCCGTTTTTCATCATAAACTTTCGTAGAACAGCATTTCAAAGATGAGTTTTTGTTTCTTTTGTACGGATTTCCATAACAGCATATTTCGTTGTTGATGTTAAAGGTCATGTTTCCACAGCAAGCATCATCAATTTCCGAATGTTTTTGAAATATATTGTGTCCACAACAAAGTTGACTTTTAGTGTTAAAACCTTTGTCGTAACAGCAACCTGTCCCATTTACTCCACCAATAAGAGGTTGTGGTAATCCTCCACAACATATTTCTAATTTTGCATCAAAAGCAGAGTTTCCACAACATTGATTGTGCTCAACGCCTCGTTTTTCATATAATTCTGAATTACAGCAGACCTTTAAGTTTGGATTATAGCTTTTTGTTCCACAACATTCGCCGTTTAATCCACCTTCTCTGACAAATTTACCTTGGCAGCATATGTGTGTCTTTGTATTAAATGGCGAAGAACCACAACACCAATTGTCTTCAGTGTTAGTTTTAGAGACCACCCCGACATCAGTACAACAAAGTTCAATATCAGGGTTATAGCTTTTATTATAACAACATTTTGTTATAGCACCAGAAGTAAGGGGCTGTGGGTACATACTACTGCAACAAATTTCTTTTTCTGCATTTATAGTTTTTGCACCACAACACAAATTATCGTCTACCTTTCCTTTTGGTATTATATTGTTAGCACAGCACAAGTGAGATTCGGGATTGTAACCTATATGACCACAGCATCTGTCAGCGGTAGTTGAACGATTCTTAACTAATGAGTCGCAGCATATTTCGTTCCTTGAATTAAATGTCGTGGTGCCACAACAGTACTCGTCGGTTGATTTATGTTTGGTCACCACTTTTCCATCACAACATAATTCGGTTTCCTTACTGTAACTGGTGTCCCTACAACAAGTATGCATCTCCCCTCCTGGTTGTGGTTTTCCTAAGCAACATACTTGGTCGACAGATGTTATAGGAACATCACCACAACAGGAATCGTCGGATATCGAATTTTTCTTGATAACATTATTGTTGCAACAAATGTATTTTTGACTGTCATATCCCACAGCTCCACAACACATAAAGTAGTCAGTGGTCATAGCAAATGGGTTTCCTAAGCAACATATCTGTGTCTTAGAATTAAAAGTAGCATAAAGTCCACAACAATGGTTGTCATCGGGATCGGATTTAAGTCGTAAGTCACCAGTGTCACAACATACTTTATACGAGGAATTATAAGCCTCCTTTCCGCAACACTTGTCTCCGATGCCTGGTTCATTTTCGCAACATAGATGGACATGGGCCTGCATTGATTTTATGCCGCAACAACAGTTATCACTTGCGCTTTCTTTTATTACAACCTTGTCGCGGCAGCATAATTGTGTAGAAGTGTTATAACTCATTTTACCACAACAGTTGGTGGTATCACCATAGCTAATCTGGACACGCTCGTCACAGCATAATTCATTTTTCAGATTGTATGTTTCATTTCCACAACAATAATCATCATTCAATTTATTCTTTCGCAAAACACCTCTAGCGTCACCGCAACATACCTCTTGTTTTGTATCGATCGCATGTTTGCCACAACAATCTATAAGTGAACTTGTCCGATAATGTTTTATTCCGTTACAACAAATATCAGTTACGATATTCATGGGACGTTTTCGGCAACACACATTATCCATAGGAGACTCTTTTTGAACTACTTCATCATCACAACACATTTCTATGTGTGGGTTGTAGCTGTCAATACCACAACATTTTGTGACAAGTCCAGCAACTGCTTTGTTCGGAAAGGAGTCTGCACAACATATTTCTGTTTTCGTATCATATGGTTTTACACCACAGCACCAGTCGTCAGACGTCTTTGATTTCTTGTATAGGCGACTGTCACAGCATATATGTTTATGTGGATCGTATGATTCATTTTCACAGCAGCGGGTATTTTCTCCATAATTTGGCTGAACAACAGCATTACAGCAATATTCCGTTTTTGTATTGTATGGAGTTGAATTACAGCACAAGTTATCATTCCGATGTCTTTTTTTAACCACATTATTGTCACAACATATAAAATTTTCAGAATCATAACTTACTTCCTTACAACAACGCGTCCTATCTTTCGACATTCTATGTTGAGGTACACCCATGCAACAAATTTCAGTCTCACCATGAAATGTACTCATTCCACAACAGCTATCGTCAATTCTGTTTTTCTTTTCTACTATTACACCAGAGCAGCATATATGTGTATGCATATTGAAACTGGTATCTCTGCAGCATGTTGTAGGGCCATCATATTTTATTTGTGGATTACCATCACAGCATACCTCATTTTCAATTCTGATTGGTGTCATACCACAACATATATTGTCTTGAATATGGCGCTTTTTGACAATTTTCATATCACAACAAAAATGTGTGTTAGAATTATAACTTTCACTTCCACAACATTTAGTCGCATGTTTAGCCATTATTTTGTTTGGAACATCGTTGCAACAAATTTCAGATTTTGAGTTAAATGTCGAATTACCACAGCACAAGTTATCATTTGAATTATTTTTGAGACGGATATCTTTTGGACCACAGCACATTTGTTTTGTTGTGTCAAAACTTAAATCAAAACAGCATCTTGCAAATTGTCCTCCTTCAGCCTGGCTTGGTATTCCATTACAACATATTTCGTTTCTTAAATTGATTGAAGTTCTACCACAGCAGCAGTTATCACCAGTGCTTCTCTTACGAATAACTCTTTGATCACAACACATTTGTGACCTAGTGTCAAATGAAGCTTTTCCGCAACAGTCAGTATACCCATCACTATAACGTCTGTTATGAACGCCATTGCAACAAAGTTCAGTTCTAGAATTAATTGTTGATGATCTACCACAGCATGAATCATCATTCTTATGTCTTTTTCTTCTTACACGACCTTCACAGCACATTTGAAATCGTAAGTCATAACTCTGGTCGTTGCAGCATGAAGTATATTCATTACCAATTCTATTTTGCTTTTTTCCAAGGCAGCATATGTCAGTCAAAGAGTTCATCGGTTCACTAGCACAACAGCAATCATCATCATTGTCAGATTTCTTAACTACAGTCTGATCGCAACATAAATGGGTTTTAGAATTATAACTTTCAGATAAACAACACTCTGTAAGTCTACCGCCCCGTTTTGGTTGTGGGCTTTTCCCTAGACAGCATACTTCTGTTTCCGTGTTGTAAGTGTTGTTTCCGCAACACTCATTATCAAAAATATCTTTCTTATCTGTAACAGCATTATCACAACATAACTGTATTTGTGAGTCATAGCTATAATCATTGCAACATTTTGTCTTATCACCACTATGTTTTATATCTACTCTTCCATTGCAGCATGTATGCGTTTGTGTAGTGTATGGTGTCATTCCGCAACACCAATTATTGCTAACGCTACGTTTTTCTATAACTGAATTAGAACAACAAATATGTGTTTCTAAATTATAGCCACTTTCTTTGCAACATGCTACATTTGAAATTCCAGTAAATTTATAAACGTTGCCATCACAACATAACTCGTTGCGAGGATCTGTTGTGTTACTAGTACCACAACATTGTTTGTCTTCAGGCTTTGACTTAATCCTTATCGTGTTATCTGGACAGCAAAGCTGGTTTCTAGTTCCGTAACTTTTATTTCCGCAACAAGCAGTATATTCTCCATCTACACGTTTATGTGGTTTTTCAAAACAACATATTTCTCTGCTTAAATCAAAAGTAGTTTCCCCACATCTAATGTCGCTATTTTCAGTGCGTTTATCATAAACAGTATTATAAGAACAAAGTTGTGTGGTCGGATCGTAGCTCTTATGATGGCAGCATTGAGTATAATTACCTTTTTTAGGTTGTTTTGTACCAAGGCAACATATATGTTTTCGAGTGTCGATTGTTGTGATGCCACAACACCAGTTATCTGTAAGGTCACCTTTCTTTGTGACAACAGTATCATAACAGCATAAAGATTGTGTTGAGTCATAGCTTTTGTTATGACAACAAAGTGTATGATGGTTAAACAGCGGATTTGGTGAATCCATACAGCATATTTCTGAATTAAAGTTAAATGTGGTCTCACCACAACATCCGGTGTCACCGTCTTGCTTCATTGTGACAACTTTATTATGACAACAAATGTTTTTTCTGGTATCATGACTTCTTGTTCCGCAGCATTCGTAAGAGCTTTCATTCTTTGGTTGAACATTTCCATCGCAGCAAAGTTGACTGCTTGAATGCATTGTTTTAGCTCCACAACATGTATCTTCATCAGAGTGATTTTTCTTTGCTACTAAACCATCACAACACATTTCATTAATAATGCTGTAACTCCTTTTACCACAGCAATGTGTAAAAATAGAATCCAATTTGTTTGTTACATGTTGATTGCAACAAATTTCTTTTGAATCTTCGAATGTTGAATTACCGCAACATGAGTTATCGTTAATACTTCTTTTCTTTACAAGTTCTTCTTTACAACATAAATAATCGTCTGCATTGTAGCTTTGAAATCCACAGCATTTTGTATTTTCCCCTTTAAGTTTACTTGGATGGTATCCACCGCAACATAATTCAGTCCTAGGGTCAAATGTTTTTGAATTTCCACAACAACTAGTGTCATTTCTGTTTCTCTTTTTAATTACACCTATATTACAACATAAGTATAATTCAGGGTCAAACGAAAGAATACCACAGCACTGGGAAGACTCATGTTCGTCTTTAGGCTGAGGCGTATGATTACAACATATTTGATTTCTTGCGTTAATTGTTGTATTTCCACAACATAATGTATCATGGCGAGAGGATTTGTTGATAACTTTGCCATCGCAACATAGTTGTCTGCGAGAATCAAATGTGCTTTTTGTACCACAGCATTGTTTGTCTCCTGAATTTGACTTAATTTTAATCGTCTGATCAGAACAACAAAGCTTGCTTCTAGTTTCGTAACTTCTATTTCCACAGCACGCAGTATTTTCTCCCACTACACGCTTATTTGGTATTCCATTACAGCATATTTCTTTACTTAAATCAATGGTTGATTTTCCGCAAATTATGTCACTTTCTTCACTGCGTTTATAAGACAGTACATTCTTATAACAAAAGGTGTCTTCTGGGTTAAAGCTTTTTTGATGGCAGCATTGAGTATGTTTACCTAATTTAGGCTGTTTTGTACCAAAGCAGCACATATCTTTTCGGGTATCGATTGATGTGCTTCCACAACACCAATTATCTGTACGGTTACTTTTGTTTATCACTACAGTATCATTACAGCACAAAGATAGTGTTGAGTCATAGCTTCTATTACGACAACAAAGTGTTTCATGGCTAAACAGCACATTTGGTGAACCCATGCAGCATATTTCTGAATAAAAGTTGATTGTGGTCTCACCACAGCACCCATTGTCACCATCTTGTTTCATTGTGACAACTTTATTATTACAACACATGGATTTTCTTGTATCATGACTTCTGGCTCCGCAGCATTCGTAAGAGCTTTCATTCTTTGGTTGAACATTTCCATCGCAGCAAAGTTGACTGCTTGAATGCATTGTTTTAGTTCCACAACATGTATCTTCATCAGATTGATTTTTCTTTGCTACTAAACCATCACAACACATTTCATTAATAATGCTGTAACTCCTTTTACCACAGCAATGTGTGAAAATGGCATCCAATTTATATGTTACATTTTGATTGCAGCAAATTTCTTTTGAATCTTCGAATGTTGAATTACCACAACATGAGTCATCGTTGTAACTTCTTTTCTTTACAACTTCTTCTTTACAACATAAATAATTGTCTGCATTGTAGCTTTGGAATCCACAGCATTTCGTATTATTTCCTTTAAGTTTACTTGGATGGTATCCACCGCAACATATTTCAGTCCTAGGATCAAATGTTTTTGAATTTCCACAACAGCTAGTGTCATTTCTGTTTCTCTTTACAATTACACCTTCATCACAACATAACTTTACTCTCATGTCAAACGAATGAATACCACAGCATTCGGTGGTAGACTCATGTCCGCGTTTAGACTGAGGTGTATAATTACAACATATCTGATTCCTTGAATTAATTGTTGTATTACCACAACATAATGTATCATCGGGAGAGGCTTTGTTGATAACTGTTCCATCACAGCATAGTTGTCTGCGAGGATCTAATGTGCTGTTTCTTCCACAACATTGGCTGTCCCCTGAATTTGATTTAATTTTAATCGTCTGATCAGAACAACAGAGCTGACTTCTAGCCCCGTAACTTTTATTTCCGCAACAAGCAGTGATTTCTTCCTCTACACGTGTATTTGGTATTCCATTACAGCAAATTTCTTTACTTAAATCAATGGTTGTTTTTCCGCAGATCATGTCACTTTCTTCACTGCGTTTATAAGAAAGCGCATAATTAAAACAGAGAGAGTGTTCCGGGTTATAGCTTTTTTGATGGCAGCATTGCGTATGTTTACCTAATTTAGGCTGTTTTGTACCAAGACAGCATATATCTTTTCGGGTATCGATTGATGTGCTTCCACAACACCAATTATCTGTATGATTATTTTTGTTTATGATTACAGTATCGTTACAGCATATAGATTGTGTTAAGTCATAGCTTTTGTTAAGACAACAAAGTGCATCTCGGTTAAACAGCGGATTTGGTGAACCCATACAGCATATTTCTGAATTAACGTCGATTGTGGTCTCACCACAGCATCCATTGTCTCCGTCTTGTTTCATTTTGACAACTTTATTATTACAACAAATGGATTTTCTTGTATCATGACTTCTGTTTCCGCAGCATTCATGAAAGTTTCCATCCTTTGGTTGAGCATTTCCATCGCAGCAAAGTTGACTCCTGGAATGCATAGTTTTAGTTCCGCAACATATATCTTCACCAGGGCGGTTTTTCTTCGCCACTAAACCATGACAACACATTTCATCAATAATGTTGTAACTCCTTTTACCACAGCAGTCTGTCAAAATACCACTGACTTTAGTTTGAACATATTGATCGCAACAAACTTCTTTTGAATATTCGAATGTAGAATTTCCGCAACATGAGTCATCATTATAACCTCTCTTCATTACAATTTCTTTTTGACAACACAGATAATCGTCTGCATTGTAGCTTTGGAATCCACAGCATTTCGTATTATTTCCTTTAAGTTTACTTGGATGGTATCCACCGCAACATATTTCAGTCCTAGGGTCAAATGTGTTTGCTTTTCCACAACATCTAGTGTCAGCTCTGTTCTTCTTTAAAATTAAATCTTCATCACAACATATGTGTACTTCAGGGTCGAAAGAATGAATAAAACAACATTGGGAAGACTGTCCGCTTTTAGACTGAGGTGTGTAATTACAACATATTTGATTCCTTGAATTAATTGTTGTATTACCACAACATAATGTATCATGGGGAGAGGCTTTGTTGATAACTGTTCCATCACAGCATAGTTCTCTACGAGGATCAAATGTGCTATATGTATTACAACATTGGCTGTCTTCTGAATTTGACTTAATTCTAATCGTCTTATCAGAACAACAAAGCTGGCCTCTAGCCCCGTAACTTTTATTTCCACAGCAAGCAGTGTTTTCTCCCTCTAAACGTATATTTGGTATTCCATTACAGCAAATTTCTTTACTTAAATCAATAGTTGTTTTTCCGCATATTATATCACTTCCTTCACTGCGTTTATAAGAAAGAGAATGATTAACACAAAGAGAGTTTTCGGGGTTATAGCTTTTATGATTGCAGCATTGGGTATGTTTACCTAGTTTAGGCTGTTTTGTACCAAGACAGCAAATATCTTTTCTGGTATCGATTGATATGCTTCCACAACACCAATTATCAGTATGATTATTTTTGTTTATAATTACAGTATCATAACAGCATAGAGCTTTTTTGGAGTCATAGCTTTTGTTATGACAACAAAGTGTATATTGATTAAACAGCACATTTGGTGAACCCATACAGCATATTTCTGAATTAAAGTCAATTGTTGTCTCACCACAGCACCCTTGGTCGCCATTTTGTTTCTTTTTGACAACTTTATTTTTACAACAAATTGATTTTCTTGTATCATGACTTCTGTTTCCGCAGCATTCATAAAAGTTTCCATCCTTTGGTTGAACATTTCCATTGCAGCAAAGTTGACGGCTGGAAAGCATTGTTTTAGTTCCACAACATATATCTTCATCAGAGCGATTTTTCTTAGCTACTAAACCATCACAACACATATTATCAACAATGCTAAAACTTTGTTCACCACAGCAGTCTGTGAAAATACCATCGACTTTATTTTTAACATATTGATTGCAACAAATTTCTTTTTTGGCTTCAAACGTGTGATTTCCACAACATGAGTCATCATTGTAACCTCTCTTCTTTATAATGTCTTCTTGGCAACATAAATAATTGTCTGCATTATAGCTTTGGAATCCACAGCATCTGGTATTATCTCCTTTAAGTTTTCTTGGATGGATATCTCCGCAACATATTTCAGTCCTCGGGTCGAATGTTGCCTTTTTTCCACAGCAGCATGTGTCATTTCTATTTCTCTTTCCGACGACACCCTCATCACAACATAAATGACTTTTAGGGTTGAAAGAATGAATACCACAACAATGGGTCAAATCACCTCCGATTTTCGGTTGCGGTGTATCATCACAGCATATTTGATCTCTTGAATTAAATGTTGTATTTCCACAACATGTTGTATCATGACTGGAAGCTTTCTTTACAACTGTTCCATTACAACATAGTTCTTTTGCCGGATCTAAAGACTTATTATTGCAACAACGAGTATGATTACCAGATATTCTTCTATTAACATAACCTAAACAACATATGTCCTCAGTCGTGTTCATGCTAGCATTGCCACAGCAACAGTCATCATTTTTATGTTGTTTAGTAACAATGGTATTGTTTTCACAACAAAGTGATCGATCCTTGTCGTAACTTTGTTTTCCGCAACAATCAAACTTCTGTAAGTTTCCAGTTTGTGGATTTCCATCGCAGCATATTTCATGCGGAGCCTCAAATGTAGTATTGCCACAACAGCCATTATCATTTAAATCATTTTTCTTTACAACCTTGCCATTACAGCACAAATGTGTGTCAGAACTGTAGCTTGATTCTGCGCAACAGAGCGTACTCGTTCCATATTTCCTGTCTGGAATATTGTTACAACAAATTTCGTTTTTACTACTATATGTCTTATTACCACAACACCAATCATCTTCTGAGCTAAGTTTTTCTAAAATGAAATTTCCATTGCAACATAAATGGGTAGCAGAAGAGTAACTTTCCGTTTTACAACACAACGATTCATCACCTGATATTTTAGTCTGTCGTATGTCATTGCAACAGATGTGTTTCAATGGATTGAATGTTTTATTTCCACAACATGCATTATCGTCTGCATGTTCTTTCAAAAGAAGCTGTGTATCATTACAGCAAATTGCTGACATTTTATTATAACCCTTAGAGCCACAACAGTCTCCTGTATCTATATTTACTTCGTATGGAATACCTTCACAACACAGCTCCTTATAAGTATCAATTGTCGATTCATGCCCGCAGCAACCATTATCTCTTTCATCCCTCTTGCGCCTTACCTTATCATCACAACAGATATATGTTGTCGTATTATAGCTAACGTTCCCGCAACAGGTAAATGTTTCACCATTTTTCTGTGGATTCCCGTCGCAACAAATTTCGTTACTAGACATGGTAGTATTTCCACAGCATATGCTATCTATTTCTGTATTTTTCTTTACAATTTTACCTGCACAACACAACTGAGTACTTGGGTTATAGCTTTTGTTTTTGCAACATTTTGTGTCTTCCGAATTTTTGGTCTTTTTTAGTTGCTTGTAATGACCGTCACAACAAATTTCTCGTTTTGTATTGAATGTTTCTTCACCACAACACCAGTCGTCTGAATGTTCTGATTTCTTTCTTATTTGTCCATCACAGCACAATTGTGTTTCTATGTTGTAACTTTCATTATAACAACATTTATATGTATCCTTATTTGCTACGTTTTGGGGTATGTTTGAGCAACAAATACTTTTCTTTGAATTCATTGACCGACCACCACAACACCGATTATCATCCGGATGATCCCTTTGAACAAGTTGCTTTCCATCGCAGCATAACTGCATTTTAGAGCTGTAAGAATTTTGGAAACAGCACATTGTGTCATTGCCTCCAATACGTTGTTGTTTGTTTCCCATACAACAAATATCCTTCTGGTTGTTCATTGAGGTATTACCACAGCAACAGTCGTCCTGGTCTGACGTTTTATACACAATTTCTCCATCACAACATATCGAGTCTTTTGTATTGTATCCAATTCCATGACAACACTGCACATTACCACCCCCCTTTTCCGGCTTTCCGTTGCAGCACAGTTCAACATCGGTGTTAATAGTTGTGTTGCCGCAACATGAGTCATCTTCTGAGTGTTTCTTATTCACAACATTCCATGCCCCATTTATTAAAGTCTGGCAACATATGGAATTTCTAGAGTCATAACTTTTGTTATGACAACACTGTGCATGTTCACCACCAATTTTATCATTAGGAGTGTTTGAACAACATATTTGTGATTTAGTGTTCATAGTGTTACCTCCACAGCACACGTTATCACTTTGTCTTTTCTTTTTTATAAGAGTTGTCCCATGACAACAAATATGTATATTTGGGTCAAAACTGTTTGTTTTACAGCATTTTGTTTTATGTTTGCCAACAGCAGGTTCTGGATTACCATTGCAGCAAATTTCGTCAGCGCTATTAAACGATTTATTATTGCAACACCAATTATCACTGTGTCTCCGCTTAGTAATTACATTACCATCACAGCATATGTGGCTGCTAACATTGTATGAGAGACTTTGACAGCAGCCTGTTTTTGTTTGACCACCAATTAATGGTTGCGGACCCTTTTCACAACATATTTCTTCGTTTGAGCTCATAGTTGTATTCACACAGCAACCGTCATCAGCAGCAGATTTCTTTTTTCTTATTTCCAAATTCTCACAGCACATCTCTTTCCTGATACTATATGCTCTATTTCCACAGCAGTCTGTGAAATCTCCGTCTACTTTTGACTGACGTATGTCCATGCAACAAATTTCTGTTTTGGTATTGATAGAAGAATCTTCACAGCAGCTATCGTCATTTACACTTTTACGGTCGAATAGTTTCATATTGCAACAAATCTTTTGCGTTTTGTCGTAACTTGTGTTTCCACAGCACCGCGTATCTTTTCCAATCTTTGGTTGCTTAAATTGACCATCACAACACATGTGAACACCCGTGTCATAAGTGTCATTACCGCAACACCAATTATCGGCATTTCCAGTCTTCTGCATCAATTTGTTATTACAACACAAATGACTGTTTAAGTTATAACTGTCCTTTCCGCAACATCGAGTTTTGTTTAGATTATCATATATAGGTTGTACATTCATGTTGCAACATGTTTCATAATATGAATTAAATGTCTCTCCACCACAGCACCAATTGTCGTCTGGTTTAGATTTCTTTGTAATTTGATTATTACAACAAATATGGGTTTTGGAGTTATAGCTTTGTTTCCCGCAACACATCCAATCTTCACTGAAACTAGCTTGTGGGATACCTTGGCAACAAATACGATTTGAACTATACATCGTTGTATTTCCACAGCAATAATCGTCTTGTAATGTCGTTTTCTTTTTTATTTCATTCGAGCAGCATAAATTACTTTGAATGCTATAGCTAGTATCTCCGCAACAAGAAGTTGGTTCTTTAAATTTCTTATTTCGTTTACCAAGGCAACAGATATGAGTCTTACAATTCATTGTTGTATCTCCGCAGCAACAGTCGTCGTTTTCATGTACTTTTAAGAATACTCTATCATTACAACATACATATTTCTTAGAATCGTAACTTTTTCTGCCGCAACAAAAATAGTCATCGTTAATTTTAGGTTGCGGCGCACCATCGCAGCACATTTCTTTCAGAGAATCCATTGTTTTATTGTCACAACAACAGTCGTCAGATAAACTACGTTTTTGTAAAATCCGCTTTCCCTCACAGCAAACGTATTTTGTTCGGTCATAACTTTTATCTAAACAGCATCTTACATCATTTGCCATTGGCGCATCTTGTATAGTATTCATACAGCATATTTCAGTGTTCGGGTTCATTGACAATAATCCACAGCAACATGAGTCATCTGAATTCCTCTTCTGTATACGCTTCCCGTCACAACAAAGATATTTTCGCGAGTCATAGCTGTTGTTTCCACAGCACTGTGTGAACTCTGTACCTATTAACATCTGTCGATTACCATCACAACATATTTCTTCATTAGCATTTATTGGAACTTGACCACAACATACCCCTTCACTATCGTCGTTTTTAGACACAATCTTACCATTACAACAGAGGTGTTTATTGATTGCTGCAGCTTTATCCTCACAGCAAAAAGATGTTTCCACATTCGAAACTTTTCTTGGTATACCCTGACAACATATGTCACTTTGTGAATTCATTGTAGAATTCCCACAACAAATATCATCTTTTAAAGATCTTTTCTCAATGACAGTATCAAAACAACACATTTGCGTTCGGTAGTTGAAACTTTGTCCTTTACAACAAACTGTACTATCAACAAATTCGTGAATTGGTTGTGGGTTACCATAGCAGCATGTCTCGATGTTTGTGTTCATACTTGAGCTTCCGCAACACCAGTTATCATTTTTATTATTTTTATTTATGATCAAACTATTGCAACATATATAGTTATCTGGATCATAACCTTTGCGTCCACAACATTTAAAGTGATGACGATTAGTTCGATTTGTTACTTCACCTTCACAGCAAATGTGTGTGTCTCGGTTAAAAGTAGATATTCCACAGCACATATTGTCCTGTGTGTTATTTTTTGAACTGATTGTTATTCCGTCACAACAAATATGTGTCTGAGGATCAAATGACCTGTTTTTACAACACTTCATGTTTCGAGATGTAATTTTACCACCACAGCACATTGATTCCTTTGAATTATAGCTTTGTTTTCCGCAGCAGCGTGTACCTCGTTTGAACAGTTTTCCACGTCGACCATTACAACATATCTGAGTTTTAGGATTATATGTTCCATGTCCACAGCAACCAAGATCCCTTTTGCTCGATTTCTTAACAATAGTTCCATGGCAGCAAAGATGTTTTCTACTGTCATAACTTCTTTTCCCGCAACATCTCGGAACAGATTTTCTCCTACCTCTATGTTGTACCTCGCCATCACAGCACATATCTTTCTTACTATCAAAACTGTTCGTACCACAGCATTGTGTTCGTCCCTTATACTTTGGTTGTACGGTTTCATTACAACATACAGCTTTATCTGGATTAAAAGTCCTTTCCCCACAACAACACGAGTCCTTGAGATCACCTTTTGTCATGAGTTTCTTACCATCACAACAGACCTGCTTGTGTGGGTCGTAACTTTTCTTTTTGCAACACATAGTGTTATTCACATTTACTAATGGCTGAACATCATCGTCGCAACATATTTGAGTACGTGGATCAAGATTATGTCTTCCACAACATAATGATATATTCCCTCCATTTCTTTGTTGGACATGATCGTTACAGCATATTTTCTCGGTTGGATCGAAAGCGGTACCATTGCAACAGCATGTAAGATTTCCTGCCACCGCTGTTTGAAGCTTTCCATTACAGCAGGCATGTTTGTTTACATCAAATAGTGCTATATAGCTGCCATTGTTGTCACAAGAGTAGCATTTTGCATGAATAGAAGATTGTAGCAGGTTTCCTATAGAATTGAATGAAACAATCATAAAGATAAAAATGAAATTAAAGATAAAAGCGCGCTCAGGCTTAAAATATTAATCATTAAACAATCTTAGATGTCCACGTAAACATCTGCAGACTATGGATGCTGTTTAAACCTTTTAATTGAAAGCATATATCTTTCAAAATTTACACATGTAAAGGTGTTCCTTGATACTTAGGGGTGGGGGGGGGGCTATGGTGATGATGAATTTTATCACTGATACAGACAGAGTGTTTTGAAGGAATGAAAATATTTTGATATTTTTCGTCATGGTAATTGTCTTGCGTAGGAAATGTCCAGCATTTTAGATATTTTTAAACTTAGCTATCAAAATAAATCAAATTTAAAACCATTTAAATTCGGAATATACTTCTTTTCATTTTCGTTTATATTTTAGTAATAAAAAGTATTATATCCGTGTGTAAAAGTAAACTAGGGCAGGTGACATAGGAATTGTACTGGTGATGGCGGTGGTTTCTGCTATTCTGCAAGAAGTTTGGAAAAAAAGTACCTTGACAGCATAATCTTTCATACGGATTGTAACTGTTGTGGCCACAACAATAGGTATTATTTCCAGCGATTCGTGGTTGAATCTATAAAATAGATGTAATTACAAATATGAACTTTAAAATGAGCAACGTTTATCAGATTAAAGTCATTGTTCTAATTCTGTTGATGGTGATATAACTTACAGAAATTTATGTAAGGAAATGTTAATAGATTATGTTTTTACCACGTAAATGAAGGAAAGGAATGACCAAGTAATGCTGAAATAGTTATTTATACATCTTTCATCTTTTATACATGTTGAATTTACAACTCACGATATGACCGCAACAAATTGACTTTCTCGGGTCGAAGCTATCTAATCCACAGCATTGTGTACGTTTGGCAGCTACTAATGGAGACGGGTTAGTATTAGCACAACAAATATCTCTAGCCGGATCATACGATACGCTACCGCAACACTGTGTCCGTTTTCCTGCAATCTTTGGCGCAACCGAGAAACGGCAGCATACCTGAGTCTCAGGGTTAAACTCCTGTAGCCCACAATAATTCCCTATATGAAAATAAAGACAACATTCAAGATATAAGAGTGGCTTTTGGCTTGACGGTTTAAACGCCATAAAATCCAAATAAATTACATGTATATTTGTCAATCCCAACATATACACTTATCATATATGAAACTATAAAACATAAACATACGCTATTGTGATACAAAAAACATATTTCAACGTCTATATAGTATTACCAAAGACGTTGAAATATGAACTTTTTTCAAATCAGCATACCCCGGTATATTAAGTGTATGTACTGAGATTGACAAATACACAAATTATTTGGATTTAAGGCGTTCGGAGCCCTAATTGTCTATGGGCACTATTGATAGTTTCATGCTTATATCTCAAAATTCTCTTATATTTAGTGTATTTTAAAGTTTCAAAAAAAAATATTGGCTAGAACCACCTTATGCTTCTCTTCTTTTGCTTTTTAGCCATAAGCAGGGTAATATGTCGTGATTTAGTTTTTGAATGGAAATTAAGTACTATTCTGTTTACATTTTCCTTTTTGTGATAAATTAATTTCACATTCAGCACTACTTTTTTAAGGTGTTAAGCACCTTACATGCTCTAAATCTAAATTCAAAACATTATAAAACACATGTTTACCCTTTCTAAAGAGAAAACCAATCTTTATTTAGGCACAGTTAATACGTAGTGCTTAATTTTCATTCAGTACATTTTTTTCGGCCTTGAATATCTATGAAATGATATATAAAACTGTTTTATATTATAAATCGGTCATGAAATGGCCTTCATAAAGAGTATTATGAGACACTTCAAAGACAAGTATGCTAAAATCTAGATTTTGTCCTATTGGCCTGTATAATATGACGATGTTTTCCCCTGTGCCGTCACTTGAAAGTCTGAGGGACTTTTTCGCTAAATCAGGAAGAAATTTAAAAAAAAATGGTATGAACAGATGCATTTAAGGAAAATGATTGGGATATTTTCCCTACAGAACCATGTTATTTTAAGGAGCCTGTATTTAGAACTTTTCCTCCTTGAAACACCTGTCACAATTAGGAAAAAGTCGACGTATTAAGTCGGTGAGATTGCATTTTAATTTTAAATAATTTCCAGTTAAAACAAATCAAGTTTAGGTATGATTTGCATACATGGGCACTGAAAAAAGGACAATTGTTTGAAATGGGTGGGGTAGTGTATCATTTTTATACATAACTCAACATTTTGAGTACAATCAATATTTTTACGTGTGATTTGTGAGCTTAATGTTATCATTTGTTTCTTAAAAATAATCAACAGGAACACATTTTTCATAGAGATAATACTATATATCATTACAAGTACAATTCTGAAAAGAGCACTTCAGATATCAGAATTTTGTTTAGATTTTACATAAAGGTGTCCCTTAAAAGCATATAAATAGCATATGCTGTCAATTTTTCATAGCCTCATAGTGCCCATTGGAGTGGGGGGGGGGGTGTTCATACCTTAAGTGGGATTGCTTTTCACTTTATTCAAGTATATGTATGTTTGCCTTGAAGGTCCTAAAAAGTTATGTTTGTAATAGACTTTCATAGTATTATTCATGTGCTTAAGCTTTCCTGAGCAGCATATAGTAGTATAGAGTCAAACATTTGTCATCTGCCGTTAACCATACCTAGTTCATGTTCGCATATATAGGAAGTCACTTTTATTTCCTCTAGTCTGATTTGACAATGCCCAGAACTATAAATTTGAGAGCTTTTGAATTTAACATTGTCTAGTGGACGTCTGAAGAAATGCATAAATCATGTCTCTATGCCCAAAATACTGGCCCGTCCAAGGGTCGCATTGACTTGTAATTAGAAGAAATCTAAATTTTCTCCTCACCAATTCAAAGTTCAGTGGTTAGACAGTCGATATGATTAATCACATTGTGGCCCTCTACATGAATGAAACATGGTCTAGACCCTAGATACTTGGCATGTAAGTTACCCCTCCCCCCATTGAACCTCTACTAAAGTTTTATAAATCCTTGCCCTTTTGTCTAGCAATGGTCCCCTGTCAATGTAATCCAATGACATACGTTTGCATTGAAAAATTTAAAGCGGCATGCCTCCACATTCATGCTAATTTTAATGAAAATTTTGATATTGTATTTAAAAGTAAAATATTGTGAAGTGAACAAAGAAAGTATTTTACTAATTACAGACTGAGCTTTTAATCCATGACGATTTAGCTCTTACTGCGTAAGTCACGCAGTAAAAATACATGTATAGTGACAAATACTGCAAAATCAGTCATTTATTGGACATAACATGTAAAATATAACTTGAATCTTAAATCTTTTGACTCATCTTAAATCGTACATTTTCATCAAGTTTTTTTCTCCTCTTAAATTGGAGGCTATAAGTTTTAAAGCTTTTCCAGAAATAGATCATAGATGAGTATTCAAGATACTTCACAAAACTCGCCACTTCTCTTGAATGTTGTGTATATTCTTTTATCTTTATTAAATTGTTTTATTAAAAATTAATACACTGACAAATGTACATGTTATATGACAAATTTATATGTATACATGCTATATAGTGAAAATGTACAGAAAGACTGATTAATTGCTATCGTATAAACTAGACTAGACAAAGAGTTATTTGATTAACTGACCCCATGTTAATTAGATGCACATTTTAAGGTATTTAAAGCTGAAAACAGATCTGTTAAAGATACCCATTTAGCTATGAATAAGATAACCAAGGCATACAATGATCTTGTAAACTCGTTTATGGCAGGATGAGCATTTGTCGGTAAAACAAATAGTCAGCTGCACTGGTATATCAGAAGGTGGTGTGCAAACCTTTCTGAATAAAGAACGAGTTTACACCTTAGAACGTTTTGTGTTATCCCCATTGACTCACTATGCAGCAAAAATGTAACTGCAATATTAAATAGATGACCAAACTAATTTACACACTAATTGAATTAAAGATGAACAGCTCATAATAAACAATCGGGGCTGAGTGATCAACTTTATAAAATTTGTTCGAAATATTTAAAGACCAATTTATTAGCAACCTTGTCCATCTGCTCATACTGTCACCGGGTGGATATTTTAAAGCACCCGCAGTTGAACTGGTTTCCTGTGACTTCTTCTGTTTATATTTCTAAAAATCCTTTCTGCAGAAAAAATCAATTCCAGAACTTCTTCTGGCAGGACCATTTATCCTTGCCTCTTGTAGATATCAAAAGATGCTTTTTAAAAGCTTTTTTAATACTTTTAATATATTTTTGGGACTGAGTTAAAAAGTAAGTAAGAAGTGTTTCTGTCTATGGCGAATATGTTGAAGGTTTATATAAGGAATACTGTTGACAAAACGTAGCTTTTAAGTAACGCGAACCAAAACATACTCAATTCAACAAGCAGGAACTTTCACTGACGTTTTCAATTCTTTTTATAGTGTGTTTATTCAACATGAAATATCTGTTGTCTAAAAGTAAAAAAAAAACCCAACCAACAACCAAAAATAAATAAATAAATAAATAAATTAATTAATTTATTAATTTTTCAATTAATAATGTTTATAAATAACTTACCCTCAACGCCCATTAGGTTGAAATTGAAAGAACGAGATTCCCTAGATTTAAATCCATATGTTACATATGCACATAGAATTATATTAATAACTATAATTAAAATGTTTGTAACGTTTGGTAACATTTTTCAACTTATAACACTCACAATGTCAATGATAAAAGTCACATGTTTTCAACAATTAAATTTAATGGTACTAAATCTGCAACAAATACTGCATATCATGCGTTATTCCATCCTTTTATATCTTTTCTTTGACTACGTGACCGTAAAAAATATCTTCAAGTATTTGCAAACACGTGTTTACAATAATTCTATATTTTGCGTATTTTAACGATTCAACGTTTTCTTTGCACTTCGGAACGTATATGAATGAACTGATGAGCTCAATTTGAAAATTTCATATATCAGAATGTATGATGTCAACAAAAGATAAAGTATATCTACCCAATAAAAATATTATTAAACAATGTTGTGTACTATACTTTAAATCTGTTGACTGACGCATACTTTGTTGAAAAATATATACTATAATATGATTTCATGCAAAACATGTGTAAAGGAAAACGAAATGCCACTTTGTTTGATAAAAGTTGTGTTTAAAACTTGCCGAAATTATCGAAAATGAATCATCATTTTTTGGATTAAGTTGACGATTCAAGAATTTCAATGAATTATGACAATCATGTCACGAGTTCAGTTTACGAACTGTCTTGGTATTACAGGGCAGTCTTAAAGCACATGTTAATAATAAAAACAATTCTCTCCAAATACGTAAAAACAGTATACATTTGTACGGACAGGGTATACTAGTATATGTCCTTTATAGCCCGCCCCTTGCTCAGTTTGGCATAATAGAAAAACTTTACATACGCAATAGGTGAGATTTTTTATCAGAATATCCTATGAAATATACTTATAAATAAAATGTATGTACAGTTTAATTTTTATCTAAATGAACGTTTACATATATAAAAAGATAAAATAAGAGAAGTTATCAATTGTTCACATTACGTTGATAGAAGTAATGAGAGTTATTATCTAGTATTAATAGTATGGGTAAAAATCGAACTGGCGGCCTAACTCCATTTATTAAAGAGTACCACAGCGGAAATTCACTTTCCTCACTGCTTGTGCTAAGCTATTTTGCCGTCTATGTAATTGTAGAAATAGACGGCTTGATCTACAGGTCTACCAAGTGCGGGTTAAAGTGTCAACGAGTCTACAAAAGAGGATCAAGTGTCTGTCTGGTAGACTCCTCGACGCTCAACAAATAGGAGAAAAGATATATCCAACTCAAGACAGCACATGTATTATATTACGGTACGATGTAATAATGCACACATATTCACATTCACATTTAAAGCAACAATCCCATAGATAAGCCGGAACAATATGCCAAAAATAAATTTGAAATTTACATAAATTTATAGAAATGATTATTCACCTATATCATACAAACCCAAGAGGGTTTCCTAGTTTTCGAATCAAACAGCAATCGCGTGACTAGCGGAATAAGATATATTAATAGGTTAATAAAGTTAATATGTTTATTGTTTGTATAAAAACATTTAAAAAAAACAAATAAGAAAACCCACAAAACCTATGAAATCTGAAGGCGTGCTGCTTTAAACATTAGAGATTGTATGAGAACGATGTGTCCTAGTTCGCGGTAAGCTCGAGAGGGTCATGTTATATTTGAGATACCCTTTTAACTTGTGTAAACATTCGTATTTAGATAGTTTCATCTATTTTAGAGATGTAGTATGGAACGCCAAAACTTCCTTTTATTATGAGAAACTGATATAATTATATTTGGTAAGTTGGAATTTGGCTGATATGAGTAAAGTTGCCATTTTGTTGAATTGAATGTACATATGTACATAATTAGTCCAGTTTTTATTGTGTTGAGTCAAGTTGGACTCAGGCTAAGTCCAGTTATTATCGTGTAACATCAAATTAGCATTATATTGAGACAAGTTGTCATAAAGTAAGTCAAATGAGCATTTTGATAGGGCAAACTTGCATCAGGTGGAGTCAACATGACACGATGTTGAAACTAGTCAGCATTTAGTTCAGTCAATTTGATATCGAACTGAGTCAATTTGATATAGGTCTGAGTCAATTTGATATTGGAATGAGTCAATTTGATATTGGACTGAGTCAATTTGATATTGGGCTGAGTCAGTTCAACATTTGGTCAATTTGACATTACGTTAAGCTAATTTGTTATATTGTTTGGTCTAATATGGCAGTGTGTTTAGTCACTTTTATATAAAATCTAAGTCATTTCGACATTATGTTTTATCAAAATGTCATTATAAGAGCCAGTATGTCATAATATTGGGTCAAGTTCGGGTGTAGTTGACATATGACTGAGATAATTTTGATTATCTTTATGGTGAGTCAAGTTGGCGATGATTCGTCGGGTTTCTGAGACAATGTCGAGTCCATGTATTGCAATGTAATATTTCGGTAGCAAAAATCTTTGGTCATTTATACAGTAACATGTATTGCAAGGTTAAGTGATTTGGACCGAATGGTCTATTGCCCACTGTACAATTTGTTTTATGAACTACAATAGTTCACAAAAAATAATAAAGAATATTACTACTGCAACTTAACAATAAGTAAAAGAACATTTAACATGTCATTTGTATTGGCATAACTTTATACTTTGATGGCCCAACATAATGTCAATTTGACCAAACCTAATTCCAACTTGACCCAACATAATGCAAATTTTACCAAACATTTTCTCATTTCTTAATTTTACGCAACTTCTAACAAATTCACTAAATCAAATGCCAACTAGACACAACCTTATGCCATACTGGCTCTATACATTCAAAGCATATGTCAGTGTGGCCCAACAAAATGCGACATTGGCTCAACTAAATGTCATTTTGACTCAACCTAATAATTCCAAGTGTCTTGACCTAATGCCTGCTAGACAACTATTTTAATGTTGCTAAATGTAGGATTGCACGTTTCTCTTCCGAGGGATAACCACTTTTCCAGATTTTTCCGCATTGCCACATTTCGTTATGAAAAAGACTTCCGTTTCATTTTAAACTACATGTACCTACTTTTTTACGATTTCGATGGTCATGCATATTATATGGACAGAATATTGTTATGGTGTATCTTATATAAAAATATAAATTTCTTTTCTAAATGTGTCGTAATCAAACCTCTCAGATGCTGTGTGTCAATATGTCAAAGGGGGCATTATACACTTTGTCAGATCTGCCTAAAATTTTCCTTACCATCTGCGGACCTGTAGTTCTATTGGAAGTCACAATCTTCGGGGTCTAGATATCCCAGGTTCAAGCCTACTTAAACACGAGACATTTACCTCAGTGAGGTCGGTGGGTAGGTTATGGTAGCCCGGTGACCAAGCTTTGACTATGTTAGGTGCATGAAACCCAGATTATAAAATGTATTTATTTTACTTACTTCAACATGTTGACATTTAAAGAAGGAATGCGATATTTATAACACATCTGTTGTCATTTGAGTATATGCACATTCAGTGTTTTCTATATATAGATATGAATTTAAAGGCTAGATTTCCTGTTTATAAATATTTATATGCAATGATTGACATCTTACAGTATATAGTACAGTATATCATTCTATAAAGGAGACCAGTTCTAGAATTATACATGCATCACCATCATTTTGATCATTGCCTTTATTTTGGTCGTTAGTTCATGTGAGCTAAAGCTTAAATGACCTATTAGCAGAGGTCAGACGGTCCGGAATCGCCCAAAGCTCGTCGTTCGCTATACTTTAGAGGTCACTGTATTGATTGGATCTTTATCAAATTTTGTCAGTATATTGATTAACAATTCTCCGGGTGTTGCTCATCTTGGGTAAAAAAACTAGGTCACTAATTAAAATCAAAGAAAAACCTTGTAAATATTCTGTAGGTCACAGTTCATAATTTTTTGTCAGAATGTTGATTTCAATGACATCTCAGATGACTTTGGACAAGGGCTTATTTTGGGCAGGTTACCATGTCAAATCAAAGAAAACATGCATTGATTACTCTCAATTTCGATGATCTTCATCAAAGCTAGTCAAAATATTTATGTGATATCTCAAAAGATGGGTCATTTTTTGCCAAAAATATAGGTCATCAGGTCAAATCAAAGAAACACCTTGTTAACTTTCTGGTAGTCATAGTAATGACTTGATGTTCATCGAACTTTTACAGAATGTTTTACATAGATTAATAAATATAGGTCGCAATGTGTCAAGAACTATGTCACTTAATGCCATAATATTGATTTGATTTGCACAAACTCTGTCAAAAATGGGTTTTCATATTGGTAAAGCTAGAACATGAGTCTATTTTGAGAAATAAAGGCATGTAAAAAGAAAGCAAGTGTCACAGTTTTCTTTATTGTTCATCAAACTCTATTTTCAAATGTATGTCTCATTTATAGTTTTGGCAAGGTTAAAGTTCGGTTTCCTTGGGTTAAAACTAGGTCATAATGTCAGTTTCGTGCAAAATCATGCAATCCCTTAATAAGTCATTACTTACATTTGATTTCTCAATTTTCTTAAGAATGCATTTTATGTTTTTAAAAAACTGAAGCAAATAGACTCAGGTGAGCGGATAAGGGGCATTATGAACCTCTTGTGATTTTTTTCTCTCTGATATTCAAAATGATTAAAAAAATGATATTTCATACAGAAAGTTTAAAAGCGCCGACTTTGCAAAAGGCTTCAAAGAGATGATATAAATACGTAGTCAAGATTAAGGAAGAATATGATCTAGTTAAAGAAAAGCGTCATGGCTCCATTATGATTTTATCTTTATTGTTAATAAACACCAAAAAGAAATTGAACAATGTAACAGGAAGATAAATAAATGTATCATATGCTAGTCATAAGCATGCTAACAAATTGTTTTGCTAAAGGAAATAATAGGAATAAAAATTAACAATTAATATATCAAATATATACTCAAACGTGTAAACAAAAGCCAGTCCCCGGACTCTAGACTGAAAACTGGCTACTCATGCAGGCAATCCCTTAACAAGGACTCCGAACACAATAGTAAGAATGGACAGAATGGGTGTACATGTTTTATTTGGTTATAATTATACACCAGTGGACATTAAAGGTGCATTATGCCTCAGAAACAAATAATTTCTTACTTCTTTAGAAAGGGCAATGGTGAATTTTATAATGTTTAAATAATGGTTAAAAGAATGTTAGATGCTTGTCACCTGAAGAAAGTAGCAAAAAAATGTGAAATACCTGTAATGTGTCATAAACGTAGCAAAATGTAAACAAAGTAGTATTTTAACTTCCATACAAAATACTAATTCACTATAAATGTACTTATTGGCACAAAG